ATTGGATGAGGAAGCTATAAAGTAAGATAATTGGTTAGTCTTAGGTGCTCAAGCTTGGCCAGTCCTGCCAAGTGTGGATGCAGCTGCAATTGAAGGTGGGGGTGGTTAGCTCATCCTTGAAGATTAGGTGCTGCAGACTTGGCTGGAGGTCAAAAGCCACTCAGAAGAAGTCTAGGTTTGTTGCTAAGAAATGCTATCTCAAATACAGGAGTTTTTCTTTTTGCTGAGTGAAGGTCATTGCTTGCTTGCCTTTTTTTCTATCTGTCCTCATAGATAGGGTCACATTTTTCCATTCTCTGGAAAGGTACTAAGACGCTTTAGCTTAACCTGAACCTAAAACTCAAAACTATAGGCTTTAGAAGACATACAGGTTACAAAATTAGTCTAACCCTTTCACTAACATTTAGATTTCCCACATTTTACTTGCTTTTTGTGAAATCTTAGGTCTGGTTCATGCTTTAAGTCCTCCAAGCTCTCTACTCCGACTCTGCTCTCCTCATGCTCTCTCCTGGAGCTCCTCCTCCTTCTTGCCCCTTCCTGTTCTCTAGCTCCCCCTTCTTTCCTGTCCTCTGGCTCCTCCCATTGCACAACATTGTATCTAGTTGCTTTATTTGTGTCCTGTTTACACAAGAGTGAGTATCACAGTGCAATATCCAGATTGAAACCAGAGAGTTGGGGGTGGGGAAATCAGCATTTGAATTAACAAGGGTAAGGCATATACATTTTAAAAGAACATTATACCAACATGCACTGAAACTAACATAAGTGGGAGGGGTGACCACCCATGCACATCAATTTAGCTTCCACAAACCAGCCATTAGTGCCCAGGACAACTTCGGTACCGCTCAGGACAGCTTCCTCCCGTGGGTAGTAGTTGGGGGCTGCAGTGGAGACAGAAAGCGGGCCTAAAGAAGTCATGTTCACAATCTATATTTGACTTGTGCTATATTTTCATTGCTGCTGGGGAAAGGTCCAGTGGAAAATGCGTGCTGTTCTAAATATATCCCCTCTATACCTGCTAGATTTAGATTGAAGCCTCGGGGGCACTGCTCAATAGGTCACCTCCGCTGAAGCCCTTCGGCTGGGCTTGTGTGTCAGGGTTCCCCTACTGCAGAGCAAGAGGTGAAGGGCTTGGGTTCCAGAGGGAGGCTGACTTGGGTGCCGCTCCAACGCTATTCCCTTGCTTATTCTGAAGCTCTGAAGGTGGAGGCGTCCTACCCCTTGCCGTCTCATCACAGTCCTAAACCCTGGGACGTGTCTTCCAGCTCTAGGGTAGTTGACTCTTGGCCTGCCGATTTTTTTAATTTCAATTTTTTCTGTTTGTAAGATTGTTTCGCTGGCGCCATAGCTCGAGCATTTCAGCGTTTTGTTTCCCTTGTATTGGGTGTGTGAGGGTTGTGGGTGTTATTATAGCTTCCCAGGAAAGGGAGTGTTTCAGTACGCTCAACCAAGTTAAGCGCTGGCGTTCATAAATATTTATGAATGAATGTGTGCAACGGTGAGCGACTGAACGGGTGAATGGATAGGATGCTTTTGAGCCGGCTGCGAGAAAATGGGCTGTGAAGACCGGCTGCGGCTAATTTATTTCCGTAAAGGAATTTACTTTCTTTTTTTCTGTACTAGCCTCTTTTTGCTTCCACCATGGCTTAGGGGTGAAAAAAACGGCCAAGCGAGAGCAGGCTGGACTCTGGGACTAGCCTCCGCTGGGCGGGGACGCGCCCCCGGTGGGAGGGAGGAAGAGGCGGTCCTCCAGGGCAGCAGGGCGGGGCCAGAGCTCAGAGGGCGGGGCCAGAGGGCCTCTGGGGGTGGGGTCGTAGGCCGGAGGGCGGGGCCATAGGTGTGAGTCAGAGGGCGGGGTAGCAGGAGATTCCAGGAGGGAGGAGCCGCACGCAAGACTGCCGAAGAGCGCTAGTAGGGCGGGGCCGCAGGCCGGGAGGGCTGGCTTCGAGGAAGGACTGGTGGGAGGGACTCACGCCCGGGTGGGGGGCTGCAGCTTCCTGAGGTGAGGCGGGGCCTCGGCGCTGGGGGCGGGGCTTCGGGTGCGCGCGGTCTGGGCGGGCCCGGCGCGCCGTGGCGCCGGGACACAATGGCCTGAGCGGTCGGCGGAGCTCGAGCGGCTTCCGGTTCGCCGAGCCGCGGGGCCGCCCAGCTCTCCGAGCCCTCGGCCGCACGGCGCGTCGGCGTCGGGCCATGTACTCGGGGAACCGCAGCGGCGGCCAGGGTTACTGGGAGGACGGGGCGGGCGCCGAGGGCGCAGCGCCGGCGGGCACGCGGAGCCCCGCGCCTCTCTTCAGCCCCGCGGCGTACGAGCGCCTGGCGCTGCTGCTCGGCGGCCTCGCGCTGCTGGGCGTCGGCGGCAACCTGCTGGTGCTGCTGCTCTACTCCAAGTTCCCGCGGCTGCGCACGCCCACCCACCTCCTCCTGGTCAACCTCAGCCTGGGCGACCTGCTGGCGTCCCTCTTCGGAGTCACTTTCACCTTCGCGTCGTGCCTGCGGAACGGCTGGGTGTGGGACGCCGTGGGCTGCGCGTGGGACGGGTTTAGCGGCAGCCTCTTCGGTGAGTCGCCCGGGACGCGTCCTCCTCGCCTCTCAACTTTCCCTGGGTACATCAGCCCTGGGCCCCCGCCCTCCCCGGGATCCTCACCCACAACTCCGGGTCTCTCTCCTGCCGGAGAACTCTCCCTTCCTTCGGGTCTCCATCCCCAACCCGCTGTTGTCCTTCTCCCCGGATTCCTCCCGTCCAGCCTGTCTTCATCCCCGACTCCCTCTTTCCCTCCTGCCGGGGCTCATTATTTCTCTCCTAGCCAGTCATCCATCAACCCCAGCTCTCCATGCCTCCGCAGCAGTTCCCAAAGTCTCCCCGCTGCTGGCCACCTATGTCCTCTCATCTCTTGTTTTTACTTCCTGCTGTAGCTCAACAGGGCCTTTGCACAGGGGGAAAGAAACGAGGGTCTGTAGAGTCAAGAGATGCAAGAAAAAAGTCAACTTCCTGAAAAGTGGAGGAGGGGGACAAGGAGAGATTTAATTCATCTGTGGAGAATCCTAAATAACGATGTGTTCTACCCGCCTCCACTCGTTAGCACTTATATACCGTTGAACGCTTCCTAGGGAGTGAGACTGTATGATATTTTTTATTGTATTTTTCTCTACATAGGTTCTGTCACACCAGAGGTTACACATGGGTCAGAGAAGTACAATTCACTCGTGTGAATAAATAATTAGCTGGGCAGCCAGTACTTTAATTAAAGTAGAACTTGTTGATTTTTTGAAAATACATATTCAGGATTGGCAGATTGGAGGTTGACTAACCCTGTATTCTAAGCCTGGGAAGGGCGTGCATATGTGTGTGTGTGTGTCCTAAGAATTTTGTTTGTACAAAGATTTAAAATAGAAATGGGTACTTCTTAAGTCTTAAAGTCCCCTTTTTCAAACCCTGAAACGCGTTGATAATTTACTATTGCCTTTATCTTGGCAGATCTTAAAGAAAAACATCTATGTAAGATCATGGATACTATTTGCCAACTTATGTTTGACAAACCCAAATCTTGTGGTATTTGTCATGGCTCCTTTTTTTAAGTTTAAAAACAAAATTTGGGAGTTATGATTTTATTTCACCGATAGTTCTGATGCCTTCTTATTCTCTTTCCCCTAATAAACGTTAAGGATTTCCTTTATACAGTGATATTGAACCCTGAGGAGGGGCTGTGAGAGGATGTGAGTGGTAATATAGGCTGGCTGTGCGATATTCTCTTTTAATTGAAAATGTCTGTTGGGAGGGTTTTTTACGCAGATTAATCTTTAAAGGAGGTGATATGTCACAGGCCTACCGTGTAGAAGCCCTGCAGTAGGCGACAGGTGTTTGTTCGCAGACATTGAAGTGTCCCTTTCCTTCTCCACCCCTCATGAAGTACTTTTCTGTGCTGGGGTGGTGTTCAGTGTCTCCATCTGGGAGTGAGAAAACAAGAATGGGTTGAGTTTTTTCTTGCAAGGGTCTGCAGCACCACCCTGTTTCTTCCTTGCTTGCTCTGCCAGCCCTCACCTTGTTGGGGGGTGAGGGGAAGTCCCTTTTACTCAAGAGCATTTGTTAGAGCTTTGAATCACATCATTTATTCCCATTCCCTGGGGTAGATCTTCTGGGTTAGAGGATTGGAAGTTAACTCCTGGAGTGAGGTTACTGCGGGACTTACAACATGCTTAGCAAAGGTAATTTCTTTTCCTGGAATATGCTTCTTAGGTAGGGAAAGGGAAGGACTTCCCTTTCTCCATCCTCAAGCCAATTCTGAGTATTGAAGTAGAGGAAATTTTGAAATGCTGGAAGTCGCTAGCTGCTTGCTCCAGAGCTTTGGTGAAGCTGCACCACTGGTCTGATGGCACAAGGTGGACCCTATGGCTATCTCATGTCCCAAGTCATTCCGTCTCCCAGGCTGCCAGTTTCCCTATCTTTGTTATACGCTATTGAGCTTACTGTGCTTAAGGTCACCCATCCCATTTGCTTTTTTTTTTTTTTTGGAGACTCCTTTGACATCTGTAGGTTAGAAAGCATCTCCACTGAGTGCTTCTAACCGACTCCCCTCTTACTGCCACCTTCAGCCTTGTTGTACACCTAGAGGAAGTACGTACGTGCTTACACTTTAGATATCCTCATAGGTTCTTTGTTACTCTTTATTCCCTGCTAGAAGTGAAAGTGAGTAATTCAGCGATTCTTACATGTGTATGCACAAGAGGATCAGTCAAGTGCTTCCTTCTGGGCTCTCTCTCATCCTGGCATCTCCGAGAAGGCTAAAAATAAGTAGAATCCCTGATAATCTTGGTCAGAGGTTCCCACCAGCTGGGCCTGTTAGGATCACTGTTTCAGTTAAAGTGACACTGACACGTCAGGCCAGTGACCTAGTAAAGCTCATCCAAATTCCAGTTGAATGGCTCATCTTATGAATATCAGAATACTCATTCTCTTACTTGTATCTGCATCTAGATGTCAGCACATTTAATGGTAGTGAAAAGTAGAGAAGCCAAAGAATCCTTACTGCTCTTGTGCATGATGAGCAATGAAAAGACTGGCAGCGGGCTGTGTAAGTGTGCTAGCCTGCAGATTTCCAGGTGAGTACGTCCAAGGGAAACAGCCTCCAGCCATACCTAGTGTCATGTATGACCAGCATTGCGGTGGAAGGGAACAGAAGAATCTTTTTTCATTACTTCTTTAGAAATGAAAATAACATGCTTAGAAAGATATTCATGGCTACAGAGTCTGGTGAAAGGCAAATATTTCCTTACTTAGATGTTAAGAATAGATATTATTTATGTCAAAATGGTTTAATACAGGAAACCAGGAACCTTTTTTTAACTTAAACATATACTTTGATACAGAAAATTTTGTAAAACTATTTCTTTTGTATACTTATGTGTTTTTAAATTCCAGTTATTGAATTAATTCTTCTGTGAAATCTGAGTGTCTCGTGTATCTACTGCAAGATCCTTAGGGTAGTTAGGGATGCAAAAAACCTTCTATGCAGCTGTTCTGGGATTACTTAACAGACTTTCCTGGCCACAGAATCTTTCCCACTGTGTTGGCATGATCACAATACATAGTGTGTTTCCATAAACACAGTAAAGCTACATATTTCTTTTAATCTAAGCTCACAGTATTGTTCAAATTTTATATTAAAAAAAATCAAATAATTATATAATATTAATAGCTTTTTATTTTGGGGGATATTGTATCTATTCCTCACAATAGTATTGCTTGACTTTGGGGTTAGATATATGAAATGTCTTTGGTTCCTTTTCAAGAACTTAGAAGAACTATTGGAAAGCATTTAATGAATTGCTTTGGATAAAGGTTTGTATCCACGTTAGTAAGTTAGGCTCTAGTGGATTGGAATTGCTGTTGCATGAAATTGCTTTTATATTATTTACAATTGTGTTCTTTTCTTGAATTTTCTTCTTTCAGAGAAGAGTTCCAGTCACAAATGCATATGTGATGCATGGTAACATTTACCGCTAAGGTGAAATGCAGAAATGAAAAGGACACATCCATATGGGTATTCTCAGATATGATTACATGCCCTTTAATGTGTTTTCCATGCTACTGACTTTTTTTTTAATGTTTAAAAATTGTAACTGTTAAACAGCTTAGGACTTACAAACTCAGTGTTTCTGAATGAGCATCACAAGTAGAGATTTTATTACAGCATAAATACCTCAGAGGAACCTTCGACCTAGATCCATACGGAGTTCTTTCATCAGCTGTGAGTGACCTGAACAGTCAGCTCCTAGGATGGCAGACAAGCTTCCCACAGAGTTTGATGTGGTTATAATAGGAACAGGTTTGCCCGAGTCCATCTTGGCAGCTGCATGTTCAAGAAGTGGACAGAGAGTTCTGCATGTTGACTCAAGAAGTTACTACGGAGGGAATTGGGCGAGTTTCAGCTTTACAGGTTTGCTGTCCTGGCTGAAGGACTGTCAACAGGACCATGATGGTGAGGAAGGCATGCCTGCTACATGGCAAGACCTGATCCATGAAACAGAAGAAGCCATCGCAATTTGCAAGAAGGATGAGACTATTCAGCACACAGAAGTCTTCTGCTATGCCAGTCAAGATGTGGGGGACAGCATGCAAGAGGCCAATGCTCTGCAGAAAAGTCCCTTGACAGAGGCATCTGCTACCCTGGCTGACTCTCTGGATTCTGCAGACTTGCCCAAAGAAGGGCACTCGGCATCCTTTACAAGCTATGAAGCACCTTCTAGACATACAGAGAGAAGTGATAGAGAGCTTTTGCCACCCCAGGCTGATACAGAGGAGTCACTGGAGAAAGAAAAGTGCTATGGAGATGAAGCTGGTACCCACACAGTTTCAGATGGAGATAAAGAGGAACACAAACTTGTAGAAGACAACACTGAACAACCAAAGAGAAACAGGATTACTTACCCTCAAATGGTTAAGGAGAGCCGGAGATTTAATATTGACTTGGTATCAAAGCTGCTGTATTCTCAAGGATCACTGATTGATCTTCTGATCAAATCAAATGTTAGTCGTTATGCAGAATTTAAGAATGTCACTAGGATCCTTGCATTTCGGGAAGGGAAGGTAGAACAGGTGCCTTGTTCCAGAGCAGATGTCTTTAATAGTAAAGAGCTTACTATGGTTGAAAAGAGAATGCTAATGAAATTTCTTACATTCTGTTTAGACTATGAACAACATTCTGATGAATACCAAGATTTCAAACAATGTTCATTTTCTGAGTACTTAAAAACTAAAAAATTAACGCCCAACCTCCAACATTTCATACTACACTCAATTGCAATGACATCAGAATCATCCTGTACTACATTAGATGGCCTTAAAGCAACAAAAAACTTCCTTCAGTGTCTTGGACGGTTTGGCAACACTCCCTTTATATTTCCTTTATATGGCCAAGGAGAAATTCCCCAGTGTTTCTGCAGGATGTGTGCAGTTTTTGGTGGTATCTATTGTCTTCGCCATAAAGTACAATGCCTTGTAGTTGACAAAGACTCTGGAAGATGTACAGGAGTCATAGACCACTTTGGCCAGAGAATAAGTGCCAGCTACTTTATTGTGGAGGACAGTTACCTTTCTAAGAAAACATGTTCAGATGTGCAATATAAGCAGATATCGAGGGCTGTGCTCATCACAGATCAGTCCATCCTGAAGACAGATTCAGACCAGCAGATTTCCATTTTGATAGTGCCTCCACTAGAGCCAGTAACCAGTTCCGTTCGGGTCATGGAATTATGTTCATCGACCATGACATGCATGAAGGGCAGCTATCTGGTCCACCTGACCTGTGTCTCCTCCAAAACAGCCAGAGAAGACTTAGAACCAGTGGTGAAGCAGTTATTCATTCCTTTTACAGAAGCAGAAGCAGACAGAGAAGAAGTCAGAAAACCAAGACTCTTGTGGGCTCTTTATTTTAATATGAGAGATTCCTCAGGAGTGAGCCGAAGCTCATACCATGGCTTACCTTCCAATGTGTATGTCTGCTCTGGGCCTGACTGTGGCCTGGGGAACGAGCACGCAGTCAAGCAAGCGGAAACACTGTTCCAGGAGATCTTTCCCAGCGAGGAGTTCTGCCCACCTCCACCAAATCCAGAAGACATTATCTTTGAGGCTGAGGGTTAGCAGACACTCTTGGAGTCAGTAATACACTCACTGCTAAGCTAGACACCGTGAGGGCAGCAAGACTTTGCAAAGCCCAAAACACCTTCGAAAAGACAAAAAAACAGACTGGAAATGCCTTCATCCTGGCCTCAAAATATTGTCATTTGAGAGATAGCCGCCATCTGAATAACAGCAGAAGCTGTGTAAGAAACGCTGATCACAGGTCTTCAGCGCTGAGACGCTGGGTGTTAGCTCTGCTAACCTGTCAACAGCTGACTTGTTGGTGACTCAGCTTTTTGGTTTCAGAATTGGCTTCAGGAATTCAGAATCTTTGAATGTCATTGGCTTTTGGGTCCCACATTAGCACCTTTGCTTACCTTAAGCTAATATCGTACTTGCTCCTGTGTTTAGGTTTTATGTATGGTTGTCCACACAAAGGACTGTTCTAGCTACTGCTGTTGCTACCACCTCAGATGCATAGAGGAACACATAAATCATAAACTGTGAGTTTTTTATATATTATGTGAACACACAGAGCTGGTAGTAGGAATAGCAGCTAATACAAGTGCCATGTGACAACATGACTGTCTTTCAGAAGCTTAGCTGTGCATGATCCTGTGTCTTGGGGTTAATACTTCCATGTGAATTCACCTGCTTGACCTTTGGAACTAAGGCACAGGGAGACTCCCCTAGCCTTCTACTTTACAAAATTAGTAGTCCAAGAAGCTTATATTTAAGAGATACATTGCAGGCTGCGTACGGTGGCCTCCCATCTTCAGGAGGCTGAGCCAGGAGGATTGCTGTAAAGTCTAGACCAACCTGGACTACAGTGTTGAGATTCATTTCAAAGCAAACGTGCCCCCCCCCCCCCAGAAGTACATTATAATGAAAACCAAAGGGACAGTGTTTATTCAGAAATTTTCTATAGAGCTGCCAGTAACACTTAAAAAAAACCCCAACTCAGGCTAACATAAATTAATAAATTACCCTAGAAAAGGGTACTTTAGGATAGGTGTTTAGAATTTTCCAGAAAGGAATTAAATTCCCTAGGAAGAATAGTGGTGCATCTTAATGTGGGATTATAGATGGCTTTAAACTTGTAGCTAGAGCTCCCCATCCAAGCCTCTCAGGGTGAAACGTGCCACCTGGTTGGCAGTACTACATTAATAAGCATCGGGAGCTGACAGAGGGCATGACTTCTACATGTCTGCTATGTAGAGAATAGAGAATTTTCCCTCCAGAACCACCTGCCATACCCCAGCAGTGAAAGCCTTCTGTCCTGTGAGACGGTGTCCAACGCGCTAGTAGACTAAAGTATGTTCTGAATACTCCCTTACTACTCTTCAGTGAGGAAAGCAAGGCAAGACATTTCAGTGAAAGGCCGCGTGCTAAGAGTAGAAAGCCATCAGTTGGTCTTAGTGTTGGTTTTCTAATATAGTAAAATGATAATATTGGGTAGATCTTAAGGTTTAAATCTAGCAGAACAACTGAAATCCCAGAAATGATCTAAAAACAGCAACTAAAACAGGTAAAATGGAAGTGAGAGTGCTTCACACCTACTTTATTATAAAGTTTGTCAGAACCACAGACTATTTGAGAGACATTAAAAAAACAGCATAGTGGCAAAAGATAAACAAGTTACAAAAGACAGTTAAATGTAATGGAAATAAAAATTAGATTAGGCCAAAGCAGATTTTTTTTTAATTTTTTAAATAATAAGGAAGAGAATATTACTTTAAATAATTACAAAACAATAAGTTGGAAGTGAGACAAACCAATAAAATATTTAAAAGTATAAGGGGCATTATCTAATTTTCTAACAAGTTAGAATGGGTTTATTGGAAGTTTTCAGGTATTTAAGAAATAAAATCATAAATGCTGATTTTTACCAATTACATTCTAAGGTAGGTGAAAGCTGTAGAGTAAAATGCTGGCCAAAGAGATAGCAAACAAACAGTTGCTTACAGTAATTCAGGGTTAGAGGGCTTGTGTCCAATAGAGTAGCCGTACATCAGCCTGAACAGAACACGTGATAAGAACCCTTAATATTAACTGCACTAACTAGGAACTTACATTTAGTTTCATTATGTTTGCTAATGATTCTGTGGGCTTTTCATAATATGATAAGCAACTACTTAAAATTTAACTCAGATTTATATTGGGAAAGCATTTCTCAAACAGAAATAAAAGGCTTTGTTACTATTTTTATCTGTATATGGCTAAAAAAAAAATTGTCACTGGAATAAAAATGCAAAGTAAAGACGCAGAAAGAAATCAATACAAATATATTTTATTTCCATGGCTTTATAACTTACTAAACCTCTATTATCACTAACTATACTACAAACAGAAGATAATTTCACAAGTTTCAAATACATAGTTTTTGAAATCTCATTTTTAGAGTCCCAACAGTGATGGAATTTTAAAAAGCATTGCTGTTAAGATATATATATATGAGCATCTTAAAATGGTATGTAGCTATATTAAAGATACTTAACTAGAAGATTTAATGAAGAAGCTAAAATTTAAAATATGAGTATGCTCCCATGAGCGACAGTTTGTGATGAAGGAAGGGAGCCCTTGCATTTATTACTAGTTGTGTGATCTCAAGGCAGTCACTTTTCGCTTCCCTTCACCATCTATAAAATAGAAATAATAACAGTTATTGTGAAGATTTCATTAGATAATGCATAAGAAGCCATATCGAAAGTAGTGCTGGCATATGACATTTCTATATAAGTGGTACTTATTACAATATAATTTGTGATGCCAAGCTTATGCTTTCTGTAATTTGAGAGAATTCTGATAAATTATCCAGAAAAGTAAGCAGGGAAAGACATCTTTAGTTTTAGAGTAGAAAATAAAGGGTTTTGCCTTTCAAGCCCTTATGGCATGATAACATGCAACCTATCAAAATGTTCTGTGGTGCTGAGTTCAAGAAAGACTGATCAGCTACCTGGAAAGAAGTACTTAGAAGATGCTCATAGGAATCTGAATCAGTGTGGAAATAGGTGCTAGGTCCTCTTTTCATCCAATAATGCAGATTATTTGTTTATGAAACTGTTAAGCAAAAGAGTAGTAAGACTACAATTTTTACCCCTGTAATGGTGCCAGGGAATGTTCTGGCAGTGAACACTGACAAGGTACATCAAGTAAAATTAAAATGAAAAGGATATATATGCAAAACAAGGAGAGAAGGAGGAATAAAAAAGCTGTTTCTATTGCATTCGTCTAATTTATTTATTTAGTTTAGTTTAGTTTTTTAAGACAGGCTTTCTCTGTATGGCCCTGGATGTCCTGGAACTCGCTTTGTAGACCAGGCTAACCTTTGAACTCAGAGATCTGTCTGCCTTTGCCTCCCGAGTACTGGGATTAAAGGTATACACTACCACCGCCTGGCTTATTTTTTTATTTTATTTTTTTTTTAAGTGGGTGTAAATTGTTTAGGCTTTCTATTCTTCTTGCACAGAATATAAAGTGATAGGTTGCAAATGAGAAAAAAGTAAAAAATAAATTCTTTGATCTGCGAATTAATGTGCATTAAAATAGAGATTAAAGCAGTGTTGACTGAGTTCCTACTAGTAAATGGATTTTTAAATCTGCATGAATCTTCATCATGTATTTGTGATCATTTTGAAGAACTACTTAGGAAATTAATCAGACCTCTATAATTGATATTTTTGACATTTTGAGTAGCACATGCCCAGGAAAATACTCAGAATGAACAAATGAATAAATAAAGCTACTTCTAAAAATATGTTTTAGCAATTACATTTATACATATTTTTAAAAAGCCTGCTGACTAAGTAATAGATAAATTTTGGTGTATTGCTAGTGCTATGTAAGCTTACAGAGTTAAATGACATATATAAGATTATGTGTAAACATGTTTGAGAATCAAAAAGATGTTAGTTTACACAAGAAATTATTACGTGCTGGTTACATTTGTGAAAAAAGTTAGATCTCTACACTGGAATGTAATTGCAGGCTAATATTTTATCTCTTTGTTTCTGTAAAACATTAATGTGTATAATAACAATAAAAGATTACTTGGTGAAGTGGTTTCTTAATTGATGAAAAGAATGTTGATTTTTTTTGAAACATGTAAATTCTCCTTTAAATTTAAAGAAAAAAAAATGCCTTTCTAACTGTTAAAAGGTGATGTCCAAATATGTGTGGCTGAAAGTATTTGCAGGACTTTGTAAGAAGAAACTTTTAGTGGAGATGGAGTTTTATCTTTGTGTCTTTTCTCAGTTGTCTGACTTTAAGAAATAATCATGAAAATAGTAGGTACATTCCAGTTCATCGGTGTGAAGATCTTCTGTGGCCCGGAATGATGGCACATACCTGTAATACCAAAGCTTGGGAGACTGAGGTAGGGGAATTGCTGTTAAGTTTGAGGCCAGCCTGGGCTGTGTAATGAACCTTCCTGGGCTATGTAGACATTCTGTCTCAGGAGATAGAGGTCTCAGGAGATAGAGAATGAGAATTACATAGCAATCCACATATAAAGTCCTACGCTGCTTTGCAGACTTAAGTCTGAGAGCCATGGAGGTAAAGTCAGTTCACAAGTGTATCCACTGAGCAGTTGCAGGGAGTCCATTGCCAAGGGTACACCTAGGGATGTGGACACAGGCCAGTGCTCTCTTCACCCCACCTGAGTGATGCAAACTGATTTAACTAAACAAACATCAGCTAAACACCTGTCATGATTTTGAGTTGGCATCAGTAACTTTAGGGGTTAAAAATATGCAAGCAAATAGGACATGTTCTTTACTTGAGAAGCCTGCTGGAATTCTTTTTCTAAGGTAAGGTGGCCTTCCCATTAACAAGCATTTGTGACATTTCTTCCCATCACCCTTGTCCTTAATCTGAAAACCAAAAACAACCTTCCACTTTTGATACATGACATTTTTTTTCTAATACTATTTTGTAAGCTTTACTTTTTAGATTGACAGTTTGTAAGAACATTCAAACATCTTTTTGTTTTGTTTTCATGGCATTTCTTTTAAGAGGGTAACAGGTTTGAGCTGCATAGTTGGAAACAGGCTGCTTAAAGCTAAAAGCTGGGTCACTCAACGATTGCTGAAATCTGTTCCATCTAACATTGAGCAGCTTGCCTGGAAAAGAAGTACAAGAGACTGAGCCCACAGCATGAGGTCATGAGTGTTGAGGGAGGTGGGAGTGTAAACAACCAATGAGGGAGGAGGCAGAGTATGAAGAGTTAAAAGTATCAGAAAAGAATGCTCTGCTTAGGGTCAGTTTTATTTGCCTTTCTGGTGGCTCTAGTGGGCTTGTCAGCAGGTCACTCGCCCACATAACCATCTTGCCAGTATTTTTGACTGTTACTATTTTTGTTTTTGTTTATTTGAGACAAGACTTCATATATCCAGGCCGCCTCTGAACTTGCCATGAGCTTAGATTTCAAATGAAGAACTTCGGATCCTCCTGCCTCTGCTGAGATTGCAGGTGTGTGCCACTATACCTAATTTGGGGGTGCTGGAAGTTATACCCAAGCTGTCATGCATGCTAGACAAGCATTCTCCCAATTGAGCCACGTCCCTAGCCTCCTTTATTAACCTTTATTAAAAGGAGGTACTGTTTCCTTCTTTTTAACCAATGAAAGAATACATTCATGTTTTAACAGGGGGAGCAATATCTCCAGCTTTGTAAGATGTGCCCATGCATGTCCTGAGCGACTAAATTTGACTGTCTCATGGATACCGGGACAGCAATTGACTATAGTGTGCATAGGGCATTGAGTAGTTTCTTCAGGGTACCACTATAAAGCAAGGAAGGGCAGGTGTATATCTACTTCACATTGAGTCCTGAGATCTAAGTCATGTGCCTGGACCCCTAGTTAGTATTTAGATGCAGCAGCATCTCTTAGGATGCTGTGGTGCTACCTGCCCTGTATCTGAACAGAGTGGACTGTTCCACATGCATGTGCAAAAACATAAGTCACGACCTGAGGAGCGACGGTTCTGAGAACTTCACTTTCTAACATTCTATAAAGTAAAATTTGTGCAGGTCAAGCAGACTGATTGGGGTTGAGATGATGGGGAAGTTAATTATGCTTACATGTGAAGTGGCTTTATCCTGGTATTGCTGTCAAGAGATTTATAGAAATTATTCCTGCTGTTGTCCTGTGAATTTAGCATTTACTGTTGTTAAACATATATTTAATCCTCTGTACACTTCCTTACAACTACTTGCAGAGGCATGCCCACAAGAGGAAGAATGGCAAGGAGTGTGATTGACAAGGTGTCAGGAAGGTAGGTGTTCGCAGTTCAGTCAGAAGGGCATAGCTTTTCCAAGCTTTTTGTAGTTTATAGGACATAATCCTTAGAGACATCCACATGGGAGGTTTTCTACCAGGATATTCCTTGGTTTTGGCTTTTTGAAGCAGGGTCTTAAAGCCTAAGCTGACCTCCACCTTGCTGTGCAGCTAAGGATAATCTTGAACTTGTGACCCTCCACCTCCCAAGTTCTGAGGTTATATGTATGTTTGTCCCGCTTCATTTATTTTTGCTGTATGTCATATAAATAGAGCCCCCCCAGTACTCTATTTTTTGGGATAGACTTGTTCCTTTGTTCATCTCATATTTACTAATATTGCTGAGTTAGGATATTCTTGTATGTTAGCGTCATTATACTTATTATAGTTGAACCTTTTGAATAAATCTCAAACCTTATACATCATAAGGAAGAATTGTCACAGAATGTCTTGCTAAAGATCCAAAGATCTTGCTTTTAGGCAGTTATTAAGTATGAATTTTCCTATTTTAGAATTAGCCTAGAATGAACCAGTAAGACCATTTCAAAATGGTACAAGTTTTCAATTTAAGATGAAAATTATATTCCATTAATATTTTTATTAGTTTTCTATTATTAGAGCACTGGTTCTCAAACCAAGACATCTACCCTCCAGGAGGCATTAGGGAGACTTTGTGGTCAAAATGGGGAAGGGGACAATACCAGCAGTGGTAAGACTGAGATAGAGGTATTGCCCTCATGAGATGCTCAAGGCAGCTCACTCTCCACAGGGAGTTACTCAGCACAGACATCAGTGCTGCCAAGACTGAGGCATCTGGCAGGTGAACATTCTGAGTGTTCACTAGGAACTTCATTTCTCTGCCCCATGTCTGCCTGTTTGCCTTGGGATTTCTAACTAGGTTATATGCTTTTTGTACTATATCGTTATGTACAGGAATCTAGTACTTTGATTGTCTGCTTCCTACATGACGCTGCTTGTACTCACCCATCTCTCTTCTATTACAAGTCAATAGTGGCTTTCTTCTGGAGATTCAGGATCATGCAAACAATACAGAGAATCAGTTAACAGTCTCCATTTTTAAAAATTGTCTGATATGAATGAGAAATTTCATGGACTTTTCAAAACATTTCCTAGAAATAGAATAATTCCAAGACAACTAGAAATAAAGACTTTTTCATATGCCCCAGAAAAACCACCCCAAAACTAATAGAAAAATTGCATATTTCAAAATGTTCTTTGAAAAGGGTATTGTGTGAAGGTTCTCATTACACGCATCTGACAGGTTCCTGTGAGTTTAGAGGCGCCAACAGAACAACTAAAGCTGCCCACAATGGAACTGCACTTACTTTGGCACTCCACCAGTGGTTCACCAGATGTTGAGACAGGCCACAAATTGGCTGCGAATAGAAGATGTTACCGCAGGACATGCCTAATTATGATGGAGTACTTATTGTTAACACAGAAACCCTTGAGAAGACGGTGCCACATCAGGATGCAGAGATTCTGATACAACCAGCACTCAGTAAGCAGTAGTTAGCCCAGTTCCTGGGCTAAATTTTAGGAGTATGGATGATAACTAACATTGAGCACTTAATGCTTCCCAGGCACTCCTGTAAGTTCTTGATATCTTTTGTTTAATCTTCCTTAGCCACCTAGGGTAGGTGCTTTTATTGGCCTCATTTTGCAGAAAAGAAAACACGTTGAAGGCATGGAATTTGATGAACATCACACAGCTGGTGAGTAGTAAGGAGGCAGAAATGCCTTCAAGCTCTGCCCATCTGATACCATTAACTCATGTACTGTGACTGAAAGATGCCTCTGTCTTCAGAGAGGTGTCAGATGTAGTCAGGGGCAAAAGGAACTACACACATTCCAGGAACTGTTCATGTCTCCTCCCTATACTAATTACCCTTTAAAAGTCACTCCAGTGATAAAACACTAGTGTTTCCACGTGGGAATAAGACAGCTGTTCATTAACTCCCAGAGTCGCCAAAAGGTAGGTAGTGCAGCTTGAGGTCTATTGGGGCCAGCACTGACACACAGCTACTATGTTATATTGAATGAATATAACGGGCTGTACAAATGACTGGGAAACACAGACATAGCTCAGTGAAATCACAGGAAAGTTACTTGTGGGAGATCTGGGAATGCTTCACTAATGAGAAGGTGTTTGCCCTGGACCTCAGGGATACAAAGGATTTACATGGGATGATAGGGATAGCCTTCCCTGTCCGAAGCATGGTAGAAATGAAGTCCTTGCTTGACTTGACTTGGAGCTCCCACTCTTCTATTAGTTCTGGACTGTTGAGATTCCTAAGTATATATATTTTTTTCCTTTGTAAGCTTGTGAAAGCTCAAAGATTTGAGGCAACTATGGCCAGTACCTTTATAACTGCTCCAGAGTGGGTTCACACTGAACCCAGCCTGCCCTAATGATGTTATTTCAGAGCCAGACTATGTTAAGCTCCTTAATTTTTTTTTTTCTTCCTGTAAGGGCACTGCCCAGATAAAGGAACATAGTGGTGCCATTGCTCTACTGCAGGTGGCGAGGACTGTGGTGAAACAATTCAAGGGCTTGAATAGAAAAATAGGGTATGGAGATGGTTGGGGCAGATGGTACAGTCAAAGGTCTGTAGTGCATTCTGGTGTAGGGGTTTCACGGAAAGATTCTGTACCCTTGTGTGTTTGCCTAATGAATGGGCCTGTGGTAGAAAACCTGGAAAAGGATTACACTAAAGACTTGACATTTATCCAAATAGTCCTGGGTCATTTGATCTGAAAGTCTGTCAAAATCACAATAGGAGCCATTTTACACTCAATTCCTGTTTTCATGGGCTAAGCATTAAGAGTCAGCATTTGAGACACCTCCTGCCAAGAAAAAGACTGTCAAGGAAAGGGCTGCTGCCCTGACCTGGAGAGCTTATGTTCATGGAAAAGGAAAGATAAATCTCCCTTGGAAGTGAAAACTTGAGTGGTTCTGGAACCAGCCTTGCTCTCACATCATGTAGATGTTTTATGCCCTTGGACAACACAATTATGAAGCTCCCTTCTTAGCCTCCATTTTTTTTGCTCTTTGTCTTCCCTCTTTTGCCAGTGGAGACTCACTAACTAGGACTTTGGAGGAATTTTTTTTTTTCCTTTTTGGAGGAAATTATTTTCTTGCCTGTCCCAAATCCCCACCCTGGTCACCAAGATGAGTTTCACCTTAAACTTTCCACAGAGCCACCTGATAAATTATTGCTTTAAGCTCTAGACGCTTTGCTCCTGTGTTTTACTTCCCAGGCCATGTATCAGTGTCTCCCTTTAACACATCCCACAGGCTTCTTATCTTCTCTCTCCATTCTCCTTTTATGATCCTGGGCAGCTTATATATTCTAGTTGATTAATTGCTTACACACACACACACATTTCTTCAGCTCTTCATTCTTAGAAAAATGGCTTGGTCCCTCAGGCTGCTTGGATTCTCTCTAGTTGAGTCATGGCATCATAATAGAAAGTCACTTAAAGTAGTTGCTACCATCTGCTGTACAATTTGGCTCTCTTGAGAGTTTTGTAAATTATAAAGTGACTAAATGGAAATATAATTAGGTACTTCTCAGATTCCCTTATGCTTTCTACTTCTTTTTGTGGTGCTAGGCACATGATAGGCAAAAACCCTACCATGGAGCTACACCTTAAAGCTTCCTTAGTATTTTTAATTTGCTCATGTGGGCTATCTCAGATTTTGTTTCGTCAGTGCCAATTTATGAATCTAGCATCCCAGAATATACTTAGAAACTAGATTCATTGCCCTAGGAAGGCACTATTCCATAAATCATAGGTAGATTTGTTTTCATGGATTTAAAAAGACCTCAAGCTTACCCTTTGATCACAGGAACTTGCTTTGGACAAATCTTTCTAGGAAAACAACCCAGAAAAAGCCCTGAATCAGCAGCCAGATGATCTGGGTTTTCATTCAAGTGGGAACCTCTGACCTCAGACTAGTCATAGGTTCAGAACATTGTCCACCTTGAGTTCACTGTCCTCTGGGAAGCAGCAATTAAGCACAGAGTGGGTTCTAATGGGGCTGTTTCTCTCTGCTACAGTTGCAGGGATTGGCAATTCCATGGAAAGGAGGAGGAAAGAGCTAAGACTGCCAACTCAAGGTCAAGGTAAAGAGTTTAAAACTGAGATGACTGTCCAAGCAAGGCTATAGAAAAGACAGAGCCAAGCTGGAAGTCAAAGGAGTCAGGGACCAATGGGAACTGGTATCAGAAGACCTAAATAGTGGGACGAGATCATGGCTAGAGAAATCATGGGGTGTCTTTCAAGCTACCCTAGGGTGTCCACACCCCATGTTTTACCAGCTGCATCAACAATTACTTATCCCTCCTTCCTTTAAAAAAAATTACCATATTTAAGGGACAAAACCACAGCAACACTAGTGAGGAGCAGTGTGAATAGGTAAAAGGAGCAGCAGCAGATGTTTGAACTGTGAGAAGAGAGCCATAGACCAACATATGAATACTGCCTGGCCGAGTGACTCTCTTCAGGAGACTCAGTGACTTCCATAAGGCAGCTTGATATTATACGCCATTACAGGCACAGAGTGGCAGTTTCTGCTTGGCAGTGAGCAACAGATCTGCTTAAGGTATCTGAAATAGTTTTATTTTAATACATTTTTTTATTTGGATGAGTTTTGCCTACGTATATGCATGCATGCCGTGTGTGTGCCTGGTCCCCTCCCAGGTAAGAAGACAGTGTCTGATCCCCTGTGAGCCACAAGGTGGGTGCTGGGAACCAAACCGGAGTCCTTTGCCACAGCGACTCTTAACCACCGAGACATCTCTTCAGCTGCTGAAATCATCTTTTCTATTTTAGCACAAGTTTTTAGCCTAGTATTTTAAACACATTTTAAAGAGTCCTTTAATGCTGTGCTTTTTTATTTTCGGAACTGGATCTTGTGTACTATCCAGAAAGATATATATTTTAGAAGAAATAGTTGAAAACGGACTCTGAGAAAGGGTGGGGAGTAGATACGATAGAGGAGATGATTCATTAGAACATTGTTTTTAAAACCCAAATGAGGTCATCCAAAAAAAAACTACTGTCATATTGGTGTTTTAGAAAACTGCCTGCCTTTATTGCTTAAATGGAAACTGATCGTTCCAACGGCTTGGAAAATACTAAGCTTACAAAATGACCTGATAAAGAAGGTAAGCACAGTGTTGAGAGATATGTAGTCAGCAATGAGCAGATTAAATCTCCTTTTTGAACAGCCCACTTCACTTGCAGAGAAATGAGGATGCTTCCCAAGCTTGAACTTTGGAAGCGAGCTGTGGGGTTTGAACCCTTGCTCAGTTTAACAGCAATGGTAACAGTACTTTCTGCCCGCGTCAGAGTGTTGAGAGAATTAAATGAAACCATACAAGAGGCTGCTCAGAACCATCCCTGACACACTCTGTTAAACAATTAACACTTTGTGAAGGGAGTGAGGAAGCTTCTCCAACAAATGGATATCGTAAATGAAGCGTCAAAGAATTGCCACCTTGCTTAAAATATCAAGCAAGTGTTTTCAAACATAGTAAATGTACCTCTATTCCTTAATGTTCAAATATGAGTAGAGGGTACTAATTGGAACTAGGACTGGATCACGTGATCCCGTTTTTTTTGTTTGTTTGTTTTTGTTTTTTGTTTTTCTCAAGGCAGTTTTCTTCAGATGGGTGCTTCATCAAAGCAGCAAGCACACCCAGCCAGGGCCCCACAGGATTTTTAATCCTAGCATAAAGCGGTCCTGCGCCTCATTCTGAGTGGTCAGATCTCCACCTCACATTGTCTAGTTTAGCGACAGATTTGCTAGGCAGACTGCAGCTTTAAGCACTGCGTGCATCCTTGATGGCAAACGGAGTGCTGACTCCGGCGGAAATTTTACGTTTCTGCAAACTGGCTTCTTTTAAAAATTTAATGGGTTTTGTCCTACTTAACCCTTTGACATAATAGGTGACACGTTTCGTTTACGTTTCTCACAGAAGGAAGAAAGCGTCTTTATGAAGCAGCCTTCATAAGGCTTGCTTTCCACTGCTGTATGCAGATAAGCAGTGCTCAGCCTCTCCTCTTCCTGGATAGGATTCGCCGGCCCCGCCCCTTCCCCCACGTGGTTAAAACGCCAGCGTCCCACTCCGCCCAGAAGTTTCTCCTACCACTTTCCATGAAATGCGTGTGTGCTACCTCGAGCGTTAGGCCCTACCACACCAGCTCTTGTAACAGATGCAAACATCTGGCCCGCGAGGTGGGCAGTACTGCTGTAAGCTTGTGTTCTGTTGGGCACGAAACTGCTTATCCGGGCTAGACGGAGATCTAGGGATATGCTACCCGGTGTGGCCATCTACTGGCCAAAGTAGGGAAAAACGTTGAAAAGCTCAAAGCTCTCTGTCCCTGTGCTTTCTGTCCAGCCTGCACCAACCTGAAGCAATTTTACTCTCAAGGGTACAAAAACACTTTATGCATTACCATTTTACCAAGTTCATTCACATTCTAAAATGAAGCACGAACACACCCTGAGATAGTATTACGTTAACTCTTGGGGTCAGATAAATAATTATGAAAGCAATCCCGGATTTAATATAGGACTACGGCCTCAAATGTATTCTTTTATTATAGAATTGGATTGTTTCATAACTTACTTTCTATATTTTATTGCCTAGCATGGTACCTAGAATGCTGTGTGTTTACTGTATGTTTGTTAGTAAATGCTATAAATGAATGCATCATCAAATTGGATTTCAAAAAAAAAAAAACTGACTCAAGCTGATTCAGAGAATTAACATTTGAATGCCTCTTGCATCTCAGATTTTTAACTTTCTGTGTGTATGGGGTATGTTTGTGTTTGCGTCTGCATGTGTGTGAGTGTGGTTGCACACGAATCAGAGGACAACCTCAGGTGTCGGTCCTTGCCTTTCTTCCACCTTTGAGACAGGGTTGCTTGCTCGCCGTTTCCTATGCCAGGCTCGCTGCCCCATAAGCTTCCAGGGATTCTCTTGTCCACACCTCCCATCTCACGGTAGGAGTGCTGGGGTTACAGGTTGTATCACTGCATCCACCTCCATGTGGGCTGTCGGGATCAGAACTCAGGTCCCGACACTTGGACACCAAGCACTTTACTTATGGATCCATCTCCCCACCCCTCAGCTTTGCCTGCTTCCTGTCCGAATTTGCATCGACCCCGTAAAGTCTTGATCCTCATCAATTCTAAACCGTCTTCCTACAGCCCATCCCAGCGTTCCAGGCAGAGTAAGCCCTGCCTCCCTTGCCTTCGACAGGTCCCAGACACAGCTGTTTCCTCCACACGAGGAGACTGCTGTCTGCAGTCATCAAAGCTGCCAGCTCGCAGCAGCTGGCGATGGGGGCATGGCGTGAGCAGCACTAGAAAGAGTTGACACTGTACAGTGCTATCTTCAGAGTCGAAGGGTTCACAGACCCTTCCAGTGGCTGCACTGAGCTTGCTTCTGAGCTCAGTTCTCTATTTCCCTTTGCATTCTTCCCTGGTGATCTGCTTCCGGCCCCTAAGGCACTACTTTCCGTGGTCACCCTTCTCCCACTTTACGGAGGCCTGCCCCTTCCTTTTCCCAATGAAAGTCTGGCTGTGGATTGTGGCCAGTGAGGAAGGAGGCAGCCGCCAGGATCATAGCACAGGATAATTTTAAATGTGGATGAAAATACAAAAGAAACTGTTAAAAATTATTGAAGGCCAGCAGGTAGATGCACTTGCTGCCAAGCCTGATTACCGTAGTTCAGAACACCAATTCCTACCTAGGCATCAGAAAGTAAATGGGAATTTTCCCTTAAAGATCTACTCAGAGGACATAGGTTGTCTTACTGTGCACACACCTAAAACTAATCCATGGACAGACTTGTCAGTCAATGGGGAGCCCAGCTGGATTGAGGCACTGTTGTATTTAGTTATAAATATTTACTATTTTTTTTAACTTCTGGTAATGCTGTTGTTAATCCTCAGTGGCTGTATAACCAAATCACCACACAGAGACTGGGTTTTTAGTTAACCTAGAACACAATGCTGGGCAATATTTACTCCCTCCTAAACCTCCAAGCCCTCAGTTTCCTAACATTTAGATTTCCCACATTTTACTTGCTTTTTGTGAAATCTTAGGTCTGGTTCATGCTTTAAGTCCTCCAAGCTCTCTCCTCCCGCTCAGCTCTCCTCACACTCTGCTCTCCTCGAGCTCCTCCTCCTTCTCGCCCCTTCCTGTTCTCTCGCTCCTCCCCTCTTTCCTGTCCTCTGGCTCCTCCCATTGCACAACATTGTATCTAGTTGCTTTATTTGTGTCCTGTTTACACAAGAGTTGAGACAGGATGCTTATAGTGAGTATCACAATGCAATATCCAGATTGAAACCAGAGAGTTGGGGGTGGGGAAATCAGCATTTGAATTAACAAGGGTACAAGGCACCAAAGACAGGTATTCTGTGCCTGTCCATCCCTTTGATGAATGGTCAAATGATAGGTCAGTGTGCACCTCACAGTGGCATGTCCCTTGTACAGGGTCTAAGTGAGGGTCTGGTGTACTTAACAAGTTCTTGGGTCGGATGTTTATGATGTTTTAGCAAACCCACGTGCTCCCGTTCCCAGCCTACCTGGGCAACGTCACTGGTGGAACCATTTAACTTTTTCAAATGCTGCATATCAGTCTGTTTCTGTGGGCAGTCCTGAGCAGGAGGTTGCCATTGGCACCTCCATGTGCAATAGGTGTGATCATCCTGCTTCTGTTTGCCCTCAAGATAGAGCCAAAAGCCGTTCTGTGAGATGGAATAACCCTTTGGGATCCCTGCGGCAGACCACAGCCAGCCACTGTATGTGGACAGCATGGCTCTGCCACCTTTCGCTTCCAAGACCTGCTGGGTCCAGGCTGTCACACCAGAGTCCTAGAGAGCTCAGTTTGCATTGGTGGAGTTTCTTTTCCCATGACAAATGCCTGCCCCATACGTCTTTCACGACCCATTTCATGTATATCTTTGTGAGGTCACCCCCGAGATGCAGCCTGCCAGGACTTGTTCTAGCTTGCTGTCGTGCCTTAGCCCTAACATACAGTGACTCCACCTCATCTTGCTCTGCCCTCTCCTGCTGCACATGAGTTAGCCTTGCTTTTACAGGAACACCTGTGCACCCAGGTGAGAAGGACCCCACACCCTTAAGTCTTAGGTCAGAGGTCCACACCCACGGTGACCCTGTTGTCTACCTTGTCTTGTGAGATGGGGTCTCTTACTGGCCTGGAGTTCACTGAGAAGGCCCTGCTGGCTAGCTTGCAAGCTTGACGAATCCATGCCCGTCTCCATGTGCCGCCACACATAGCTTTTTGTGTAGGTCCTGGGACTCATGCTCAGGTCCTCATGCTTGGGTGGCAAACACTCTGCTAACCGATCCATCTTCCCCGCCCACAGGAAATAATTTTAACTCTGAACTCACAGGCATGTTAGAGGGACTGCTATTATGTCGCCAGGGGGCTGTAGTTCAGGCCATTTTAAGTGGGTCGCCATGGAAGACCAGTTAGACTACAGCCACTGCTCATCTATCCACGTGTCCTGCCCAGGAGGATCTAAGAAAGGTGGGCCTTGCTCATGCCCCTCCCCCAGGGAGTCAGTGTCCTGACCTGTGTGCCATTCCCCATCTTTGCATTCATTGCACTTCACTACCTTGTTGAATTTCTTCCTGGACTTGCCATTGGACCTGAAGTTCTGTGCGGCACTGTTATCTATGGGATGCCGTGCCTGCTTTCTAGCACCACGATTGACATGTAGATAGACAGCAAATGGTTAATAACCGAACGAATCTGAGTTGCACGTGAACATAATCGTATGCCTGTTCATATTTACTATGCCAGCATGTAGCTGGCGTACCCCTAATAAACGAATAAGTTCATTTATTCATAAAGTTAGGTTGAGACTTGTTAGTTTACAACAGTGAAATTCTTTGCACTAAATTCTCTTGCCTGTGAAGAACTAAACCATATCCAATGTAAGCTGATGTCAAATTTAAGGTCAAGCTTTATTATTTGAAATTAGTTATAAAATTAAATACCATTATATTTAATAATAATATTTGTAAACTTCATAGAGTCAACTTTTTTTTTAACCATCAACTTATTATGTCATTAACTAGGCTTATAGATGTCTTTCTAGGAACATAATTAAAGCATATATCATTCTTGATGGAAAAAATTTAATAGACTAAAATTAGATTTCTGAAACAGAACATCTAATTTAATCTCTAGAATTCCTTACTGTAATTTAAATTGAGGTGTACCATTTGCTGTTGGTCACGGCTCTCTGAAGGGTTGTTTTCTCATGCCATATTCCAAAATCCAGACTTCTGGTCAATACTTGATAAATATTCATTTATTTGTTCAGCAGTTCTTACTAATGTCATATGTATCAGACACTGGGAAAAGTGCCAATGCTCCACCCTTACACATAGAAAGCACATGGCTCAAATGAATGTTAACTGCTGTGCTGATTCTTAAACCAGATGTCTCTCCATTCTGCACCTTTCTAATCACAGAATTTTATAATGTGAATGGATCTTCAGTGTTATGAAGGCAAAAATCCAGGACCTAGAGAAATTGTCTTACTCTCTGGAAGCTATGCAGCAAGAAAGAGAGCTGGACTGGTCCTCAGAACTCTTAGCAGGGGCCCCATTGCCTTCATGTTCCTCTTTGGAAGACGAGTCTTGTTTTCCTTCCCTGTGAGAGCTGCCCTTTGCAACATGGGTCTGTCATCCTGCATGGCACCTTCCCAGGTGCTTGTCTTCCCCATGCCTGCCCATGGGCTGTGCCATTTACTTCTGTGTTATCGTGACAAAACACTTGGTAAAACAGTAAACAGGAGAAGGATTTATTTCACTCATGGTGTTCTGAACATCATGGTGTGGAAGGTGAGGTGAAAAAGAAAAACTCCTGTCCTGACAGGGCCTCATGTCATGGCTGGCCAGAAGCAGAGCGAGGAGATGGCTCTGGCACCACCTGGCTAATTCTGCTCTTTTCTCTTTGGCAGAACTTTGTGTAGAGGCTGCATTATTTGGGACTGGGCTCATTTTCAGGGCTCATTTCAGGATTGTGCTACAATCCGCATGCTGTTATTATTCTGCATTTCCTTTTATAGCTAAACACATTCCTAATTGATTTTCCTGGGGAGCCTGGTTCGTTAGCACTCTGGCTCTCCTGCTATTTCTGGAACATCCGCTGGCTCCAGGCTCTCTGTACAGTGTTTGTGGTGGAATGTGACTTCTGCCTGCTCCATACTTTACTTTTCTCTCTTCTCTTGCAGGGTTTGTTTCCATCACCACCCTCACTGTGCTGGCCTATGAACGTTATATCCGTGTGGTACACGCCAGAGTGATCAATTTTTCCTGGGCCTGGAGGGCCATTACCTATATCTGGCTCTACTCCTTGGCATGGGCAGGAGCACCTCTCCTTGGCTGGAACAGGTACATCCTAGATGTACATGGACTGGGCTGCACTGTGGACTGGAAATCCAAGGAGGCCAACGACTCGTCCTTTGTGCTCTTCTTGTTTCTTGGCTGCCTGGTGGTGCCTGTGGGCACCATAGCCCATTGCTATGGTCACATTCTGTATTCTGTTCGAATGGTGAGTTGAAGGCTGCGGATGTCCCTCCCCAAACCATGCCCACATCCATCATTTGGTGTGAAAAGAATCAAACTCTTCCTAGATGATTAGTTTGTTACCCAGAGTTGAAGGACCTACGGGACTTACTGTCTAATAGAACTTTGCACTGTGAGTCATTCCCGGAGCATATCAATGAGGGATGACATTGCTCTCTGTACACCACCCTCTAAAGCCAAAAGAAACAAGGAAAGGACAGATGGACAGTACCAACCAATACCCTACAACACTCCCAAAGTTAAGAATTCTGAAAGGAAAAATTCCAATTTCCATAATTAGATTTATTGCAAGATCACATGAACCCACTTACCGAGACTGGTAGAGGTGTGAAGAACTTGAACACACGCTGAGCAGGTTTTATGCGGGAACCAGCCAGAAAAAGAATATGGTAACTTACGAAGGGGGCACAGCCACATGGTAACGTTAACTTCAGCCGAGTGCCACTTCCCAGCTGCTGTGTGTCTGTTGCATATATATATATATGTAGTATGTGTACATATGTATGTGTGTGTGCATGTATATGGATATATATGCATATATGACTGACCATTGACTATTTTTGGACTGAGTTACAAGCAGAGTAGATATAAGGGAAGGGGTGAAGACAAGGGAAGTGATTAAAAAAGAGATTTGACTTTAGCCTATGTTATTATCCTAGCAGAAAACTCCATGCAGATAATTTGCCTGCATTTCAAGTTGCAGGCTTCTCTCTGTAGAATGCCCAGTACAGACAGCACAAGTCCATGACCAGGGTGGAGAATTTATGAATCAGTGCTCTGAAAAAAAAAAACAAAAAACAAAACAAAACAAAAAAAAAAACAGTTTCCTCGATCATGAAGAAATTGTTTCCCTTCAACCACAAGCCTTCCTTTCAGATTGTCTTGTAGGGACTTGAAAATCTGGATGCAATAACTTTTTAAATTTTTATTAAATAAGTTAGAAGAGCATTAAAAACATTAATGGGACTTTGTGAGATGGTTCTGTGGGTAAAGCAATTGCTGTTCAAATATGAGCCCCTAAGTTCGAATCCCCAGAATCTATGTAAAGCCAGGTATAGTGTAGTAATGTGTATCTGTGATACCAGCAACTGTATAGCAAGATGGAGGCAGAGGCAGGAGAATCCCTAAAACCTTGCGGGCTAGTAGAGAGACCCCATTTTCAAACAAGTTGGATGGTGGGGACCTAGGCTAGAGGTTGCCCCTGAGCTGAGCTCCATATGTGTGCTCTGGGGTGCATATGCCATCCCTCTCCATCTCCATGTGTCTCTCCCTACACACACACACACACACACACACACACACACACACACACACACACAGTAAGATATTCTAAGGAGCTATTTAGCTCAACCACAGTAAGTTTTAACTGAGGGAACTAAATCCCAGAGAGGTAACGGTTAGGTCTAGCTACAAGATTTAGGTCATAAATCAACCTCCTGTGGTCCTGTACATTATTCTTTCCATGAAGGTGGGACAAATAATGGTGGCTGCTTGCCTGTTTAAAGAGAAAAGGGATCACTTTCAGGCCCATGCTTTCTTCACTTCCTGCAGCTTCGCTGTGTTGAAGATCTTCAGACAATTCAAGTGATCAAGGTTTTAAGATATGAGAAGAAAGTCGCCAAGATGTGCTTCTTGCTGGTCTTTGTCTTTCTCACCTGCTGGATGCCTTACATTGTGACCCGCTTCTTGGTGGTTAATGGCTATGGACACCTGGTCACTCCAACAGTGTCCATTGTTTCTTATCTCTTTGCTAAATCCAGCACTGTGTACAATCCAGTTATCTATATCTTCATGATCAGAAAGGTAAGTGCTGGAATTAAGGACTTGTTTTTACCCTGGGAAACAAGTAGAAATAGATTTTATGGGGGTTGACAATTTAGAACAATGTCAAGGATAGAACAAAACAACAAATCTAAAGAAACAAAAATGCCAAGTCAATAATTTTGTATAACCAGGTGTGACACACACCTGTAATCTCAGCTCTTGAGGGTGGGCAGAGGAAGGCAGATTTCTGTAAGTTCAAGGTCAGCCTGATATATTCCAGGACAACCAAGGCTACACAGAGAAACACTGTCTTAAACAAAACAAAACAAAACAAAACAAAACAAAACAGAATAAAACAACAACAGAAAAGTATTTTGTGTAAGTGTGCTGGGGAGATGGCTCAGAGGTTAAAGGTGCCTGCTATTCTTCTGGAGGACTAGAGTTTGCGTCCCAGCATCTGCCAGGTGTTTACAGCTGCCTGTGACTCTGCCTCTGGGGAACCATGCCCTCTCTGGCTTTTGCAGGTATCAACACATATGCGCGCTCGCGCGCGCACACGCACACACACATTGCATTCTGATTTGCAGTGTCTGGGTTCCTGATAGTCTGCATTTCTAACAAGCTCCCCAATAGTCCTGATGATTCCAGTTCCCAATAATAATAATTCCCAATAAACAATAATCCTGAAAAATACGGCGAACTGACAAAACCAACGAAGACAGTGCTTCTTTTGATAAGGAGCTGAAGGTGAGAAAACATGTTACGTACTTCACTCTTATAGCAATGTATGTTGAGCGCTGAGTTTGACTTGTAAAATACTGCTTTCATGAGTACATAGTCAAATGTGTATTTGGAAATATTAATGTAAGCTAAGTGTGACTTGCATATAGTTGGTAGGGACTAAAGAACACGGAGATCAATGTCTCTATTGATGTTTCGTGAACTGGGAAAGCCCATGCATTAAACTTTTAGTTTGTTTTAATCAAAAGGCAAACAAGTTCACTTCGCATTTATATGCTCTGTGAGTGGTGGTACACTCAGTGCTTGGCAGCTCCAGAGTGTCAGCACATTCCCGAAGAAGCAACATTTACTGTGACACCAGAGGGCACAGGTGGCGCGTTCACTGTGACACGGCAGTCCCTGGAAGTAACCATCTCCTGCATGTTGTGATGCTCCTCTAATTGAACCTTGGCCGCCCAGGCTCTTGCAGAAGGGGACAAGCAGGGAGGACACATGAGAGGGTCTAAGAAACGTAGAACACCTTGTCAGCCCTGAGTAGTACCTGCGGACCTCTGCCCAGTGGCTGTCACTCAAGCGCTGCTCACTGAGCAGTGACTGAGTTCCTTAAACCCACAGGGAAAGCTGCCCTCAGAGAAGGTTCATGTACTCTGGAGACCACAAAGATTTACAGCATTCTTTTGCATCTAGTTAATAAGAGTTAGAGTAAAATAAAAGACCTAAAAGTCACTGGGCAGGGGGGTGGGGGTGGAATTAGGTAGATCTGAGCATTGCTGTATAATTTCACTCGGTGCCATCTAATCAAGAAAGGGGGAGATGGCAAGCATGAGGACCTGAGTTCAATCTCCAGCACACACATAAAAAGCCAGATGTGTGGTGTGTGTTTGCAATCCAGCAAAGATGGAGATGCAAAGAAGATGGAGATATATGGGTCACTGCGGGACTCACTGGCCAGCCAGCCTAGCCTAAAGGCGGGCCTTGGGTCCCTGTCTGAATAGACACAGTGCATGACACCTGAGGTTGTGAAAAAGAGACAGAGACAGAGAGAGAGAAACTAAAATCTCAACTAGCCATCTTGGATTTTACTCCAGACTAGTGACCACATATTCACTTAATAACTGACTCTGCTGCTCCACTTTTCTCTACAGTTTCGGAGGTCCCTTCTGCAGCTCCTCTGCTTCCGGCTGCTGAGATGCCACCGGCCTGCTAAAAACCTGCCAGCAGCTGAGAGTGAAATGCAGATCAGGCCCATCGTGATGTCACAGAAAGACGGGGACAGGCCAAAGAAGAAAGTGACCTTTAACTCCTCTTCCATCATTTTTATCATCGCCAGTGATGAGTCCTTGTCAGCAGATGACACTGACAGAAGCAGCGCGTCCAAGGCCAACGTAATCCAGGTTCGCCCTCTGTAAGAACGGAAGATGGAGACTCACATGAGCCGCCACACGTCTACTGTAAAGACTGTCCCGGAGTCCCCATTTTGGGTAACAGCAGTGGAATCTCCATGGCCCTGCAGGAAATCTGAATTGCCCATATGTTGTCTGTCCTCAAGAAGCGACCGAGCAAGACAAATTGGTGCTTTATAACATGAGAGACTCCTGGTGGCACAAGGCTAGCATCCGGCACCGCCATCTACCATGCCAGGATTCAACATTTGAACGACCGTACTTGCCAAAGCACAGAAGACATTTTGTTTCTCAAATATGTCCCACTGTAAAAATAACCATCTCTTACACACGTGTGCAGTGTGGCCAGGACACGTGGAGTCCATTGGCGTGTTGGGTCCCCTTCTGTGTCACGTTGTATGTTTGACTAATTCGGCTTGTAAAGGAGGTAATAAATCAATCCCTAGTTTCATCTGAAAGCCAAAGGCTGCTGTCGTGTGTGTAGTGTGGTGTGTGTAGTGTGACCGCCGGGGCTCCAGATTAAGAAGGCAAGTTCCAGAAGACACCGCGGGAAGCGCTGTAGAGAAGCAAAGAGACTGCGCTGGTCACGTGGGCGGTTGATGCCGCCACAGCGCAGGGCGTCCATGAGAAACGCGGCGTGGAGGAAAGAGTCAAACCTCCATCTATTCGTTTCAGAAACCAGTCTGACAAACTGTCCTTTCCTTTTAATAGCTTCCCACTACTTCGCCAAAAGTTCTGTGCCAGAGGAGGAGTTCCCAGTAAACAGAGTTACATCCAGAGGGGGATGGGAACAAATGTTTTAGTGTGCTAATGCCATGTACTGTTACTTAAACTTTATTACACTTATTTATTCATTGTATGCGTGTGCACGCACACAATCCATGTCATATTGTGCACGGGGAAACCAGGGGACAGGTCTCTGTCCTATGGGAATCAGGTCTCTCCTTCCACCACGTGGGTCCCAGGGGTCGAAATCAGGCCATCGGGCTTGGCGACAAGTTCCTTTTCTCGCCGAGCCACCAAGCCGGCTCCATGCAGTGTATTATTTAATTTTCACTGCTCATCAGGAGGCTCTCTGGATAACTGACGGGTCGTGTTGATGAGGAGGACATCTTCCCATGTGCCATTGTTCATACCTGGAGGAGAACGGAATACGCTACCCCAGTGTCCTCCACTTTGCAGGGTTGCCTTGAGTGGGAAGTCATGGAGAAGAAATGATGGAAGAAAAGCCTCCCCCTACTTGCCAACGTGACTTCGTAGGGATTGCTCCTTCAGGGATTCCGGTCCCTTTCCTTTGTCTCAGCATGTCTCTACAACTTTACTTCTAGTTGAAGATTATGTAAATCAGGGCTTTCTAAACCAGCTCACTGTCTTTTTAAATATTTAAAAAGTGTACTAGATTTTTATTAAAGATGTTTCTTTACAACATTGTGTAATCACCTTTTAAATATTATTTTTTTTGACCTAAAATAAAATCGCATTGTTTCTCTCCTTCCCTTTTCCCCCTGCAGCTTTTTCCATGCATTTCTTTGCTTCTTTTTAGAAATACGGTCTCTAATATCTTTAATTATGTCATGGGGGCAGTCTATATGTGGATATGTGTACATGGGTTCAGGAACTAGAGGGAGCTAGAGGAATTGAAACTCCTCAACCTGGAGTTATGGCAGTTGTGAGCTGCCTGACCTGGATGCTGGGCACTAGCAGCCTCTGCAAGATCAGGGCACACACACACACACACACACACACTTAACAGCTGAGCCATCTCTCCAGCCCCTAAGCCAGCTCACTTTCTGAGTATCTCCCACATGCCCATGAAATATACAGGCTTATAAACGTCATACTACATAAGCAATCCATCACCAAGCTACATCCCCTTACCAGGAAAACGAGGAGACAAGGATGTCTTAACAATGTGGAAAATGCCAAACTGTTTTTAATCTTTACTACCTCGGGTTTTATTTCCTCGAAACTGGTATTGTAGCTCTCAAAACTAACAATGGCAAGAATTTCTTTTTTTGTGTGTTTCATATTTTATTAATACACATTTATTAATATTTTAAACATATACTTTTCGATCAAATACTTTAATTCTTCTACATTGCCTTCAATCCCTGATAGTACTGTTTTGTACATGATACATTCTGTTGGTGAAGCTTCACTCTGAAGGGAAGGTTGTTATTTTTTGACTTATTGAATTTTTTATTTACAGCTTCATTCGTATGTAGATTGTCTTCAGGATCGCTAGCTCCTTATTGAATTCAATTTATTTATTATTAGTTACATTTTATTAACTCTGTACCTGGCTGTATTCCGCTCCCTCATTCCTTCCCAGTCCCACCCTCCCTCGCTTAACTCCTCCCTGCCCCTTTCCAACTCCACTGATTGGGGAGGACCTCCTCTCTAATTAGAGTGTCCCAGTAAGCCAGCTACTGAAGAAAGAACCAGAGAGGGTGTCTGTGCGCTGCATGGCTTCTGTGTGTCTGAAATGGAGCAAACTGTGTCCCCATGCTTCTGGAAAGCACCGTCCATCTCCGCTCCACCCTTGTATATAGTTATTGCTAATAACAACCCTTTCTCATCCTTCACTTAGGATGCCATTATTAGCCCTTCTCTTCAAAAGATAATAGTTCTGGTGCCTGGGGACTAGGAAATATAACAGATTCATCCTGGAACTTGCTGGTGCACCCTGACTCTCTTTCACTCCTGCTTTTAGCGAGCAAGTGGCTAGGAGCCTGTGATTAGGCAAGCTCCGTCTCCTGCTACAAAGAGGAAGTAGTGCTAGACAATCCGTGGTTTTCAGCCCTGGGTGTTGTTGATCCTATAATGTCTTTTACGGGAAAAAAAAAATGTTTTTGAGAAGTGAGACCTTGGTTATTGTGTTTTAAACTTGGAGTGACCCAGCCGTGCATGCAAAGCGATGGAAACTGCAAACACAGCATTCTCCCCTCGCTCCGCTGACAAAAACCCAGAAACTCGACACTGACATGTGCTGACAATTATTTTCTAGTGGTGAGTTAAATATGGCAGTAGAAACATGTTTTTTGTCCTTGATTTTTTGAAGAGAAATCAAACATTTGCTACCCAGAACCTTGTCACTATGGTTAGTGATGCAGGGAATTTGTCCTAGTGACTCCATGGAATTTGCAGGGAAAGGTCTGTGCTCCTCTTCCAGTAGCCAGTGGTTCCGGTCCAGCCCAGTCTTCTCAAGAATTGCAGAGGTCTCGGGGACAGGTAGTGCACAAGCATGTAAGTGCTTCCCATGGCTGCCAGGGATCCGAGGACAAAGAGTCCCTTGTTTATCACCTGCAGGCACAGCAGAAATCCAAAGCCTTTCATCAGAGGTTGAATCGTGACATAAACTTTATTCCTACATCACAGACAAGCACGCGAGTCTCTTCCTATAGACAAGTGCATGGTCCTCTGTTGCTTTTAACTCGAAGCAGCAACTTGATTGCTTGACCTCTTCTCTGTCCCTGCTCCTATTTCAGTGTTCTTTGCCTGCTGCTGGCTCTTTGCATGCTTATATCTTGGAGGTCAGGAACCCTATTGTATTTGGTGTGTGTGTGTGATATACTGGCCAATGTGTACACATGTAGTGGGCAAACATCAGTGTTAGGTGGTTTCCCTTTCTTTTTCCAACTTACTGTTTTGAGACAGTCTCTCACTGAACTTGAAGCTCACTGTTTTTGGCTAGCAAGCCTTTACAATCTGCCTCCCCCCACCCACAGAAGAGCGATACAAATGTGTGCTGTGTCCAGCTTTTATGTGAAAGCTGGGGCTTTCATCACAGGTTCTTGTATCTGTGCAGGAAGTTTTATAACCACTGAGAAATCTTCCCAGATCCTATTTTATTCATCTTTACAGAATACTTAGAAATAGATCTTCATTCTTCCCAAGCCATTCTCCACACAGCAAAGTGATGAATCTAAAACCTTAGCCTGGGAATTTAAGCCTTCTAACGTCTCATATGTCTGTAAGCTAATCTTCTTCCTGCTTCAGCGGGATGCTGAAGGTCCTCTTTGCCTCTCCAGCTTCATCTGGTCATTCTTACACCCTGAGCCTCCTGGTCCATGTTTCTTCAGTCTTTGCTGTCTGGCCTGCTCTCATACTCTCTTTGCAGTAGTTCCTGAAGTGTTCTCCACTCTATTTGTCTGACTTTTCCTACTAGCCCCTTTGCCACCTGTAGGACACAGACTGCATCTGGTTCATCATGCACCCAATAAAACTGTCAACAAATGAAGTCATAAAATTCACAAAGCAGTGCCTGACGGCACCTCTGTGTCAACTGCATCCCGGCAGTCCACTAGGTAGTGTTTTATAAGTGACACGATTCTGCCGAATTCTACAAGTTAAGCCCACAAAGATACCACATAATGCAAAAGTCGAGAATGGATCACATTGCTGGTACAAGGTAAAACGCTGAGAAATAGCAGCCTGGGCTTCCTCTTCAATTTCTCTTTCCTTTTTTTTTTTTTTTTTTTTTCTTCCTATCATACTCTGTAGGGACAGATTTTATTTGAAAGACACGCATTATGTCTCTGTCCTGTCAAGCCTGTATTTTCCTGAAATAACTATGACCGTGAAACTATATGACACTTTCACACATCATGTCTTTTAATAGTGTAATTTCTTCCAACCTTTTTTTGCCAATGCCAGCGGAGCACTGCCTCGTGGTATCTTATTCTGGTGAAGGCGACCTGCAGGGAGAGTTAAAAAGCATCTGGTGTGTTCCTTAATAGCTAAACAGAGGTCTTGAATGAGGGCAAGTCTTTCATGCAGTCCTTACCATGGTATAGAGAGGGATAAAGGTAGACGGCATAATGGCGTGAAGAAATTTATCTAGGAGCCTTTGAAGCAGGAACCACCTAGAGTTGACGTGTGCTCGCATCTGCAATGACAGGAGTCTTAAGAAGAACACCTGGAACAAAGCGCCTCTATTTCCTTACAACAATTTACTACTATTCTTTATTCACAGTTGTCACAATAATGGAGGCTGACAAAAGAGTCAAATAACATTCCTTTTCATAATAGCTATTCTCAAGCTCTGTTAAGAAATTTCAGTATTGCCTTGAAAACGTACAAAATCCAGTCTGGTTCTTCTCAGAAGACAATTTCAATATATAAAAACATCACTGTTTCAACAAAAGATTTATTGAACCAGAATGGTGAGTGACCTGTGAGCTCAAAGATTTGATCAATTTCTGTTGCCCGCTACTTAGTGGCAACATTTGTTTATAGCAACAAGGATTACTTGCAGCCAAGTCTGTCTTGGTTTATATTACTTCTTAGAACAAATGTTGTGTTGTAACCAAGCGGCTTTTCCTGTGTGTGTGCGTTGAGTGTGTGTGGTTTATGTGCACAGGGAAGCACGCTTCTGCATGCACATCCATGCAGAGACTAGAAGGGTGTCCTGCTCCATCACTCTTCTTATACGAGCAAGGCAGAGTCTCATTGAAGGGGGAGCTGTGCTGACAGCAGGCAAGGCCCTCAGCATTCTGCAGCTACAAGTGCATGGCCACACCCAAATTTTCATGTGTGTCCTGGGGATTGGAACTCAGGCCTTCATGCTTGAGCAGCAAGAAGCCTCACCTAGAGTCATTTTTTTTTGCCTGTGACCTATCTTTAGAGTCACGCAATTTATATCAACATCTTCAGTGTCTTCTAGGACTCCATCATATTATGCTACAATTATGCACAGGCTGAAGAACACACTCTATCTTCAAGAGAAATGGAAGTGGTCACTATTTTCCTTGTTTATTGTGTAAAAATTTTCACTCTGCTGCCATCTTTAAAGCAATAATAACAATCATTTGTCATGAGATTTTCACTTGACTGACTTAAAATGGAATGAATGTGTAAGTCTTAATAGTGCTCAGTTTTCTGATTAAGAATGTCTTTGGTATTATACCCTGTTTTAATTCTGTGGTATTCTCAACACCACAGACTCGGGATAGTCTGATAAGAAAAAGCCATTCAATATTTTTAAGATTTCACCATTATTTTAATGTATCTCAAATTCATATTTCAGGAGAATAGAGTAAGGCTAACTCCTGAATGTCTGAAATTTGGACCTTTGACATTTTAGATACTTTTTCATGTCTGTTATCTTCTAAGTATTCCTGAAATGCAGGTAGAAATGATGTACCTATGTTTAAAGAATGCTCTCTGTGTGTGTATGTGTGTGAGAAAGAGAGAGAGAGCGCACACTCACATGAATCTACTGTGTGTGTACATATGTGCTCTTGTCTACACATATTCGTATGCAGTATACAGGAGACAGGGCTGGAGCAAAGGAAAGACTTGTAGTTGTTAGTGAGCCGCCTCATGGAGCAGAGCCAAACTTTGCTCACCTCCACGTAATTGTACATAGACAGGTCCGAAATTGCATGGTCATCAGGAACCCTAAACCTCGAGAATTCAGGAAGGCACATACCTAAAACCAAAATTAAATGAAACATACATGTGTTAAAACAATCTACAAAACAATGCTGGAGGATGACTCTGTGGTTAGGAGCATTGACGTTCTTCCAGAGGATCTGGCCTCAGTTACCAGCACCTACTTTGGGTGGCTCTCACAACCTGTCACTCCAGCTAGAAGAGCTAACACCATTTTCTGGCCCCCGGGCGTATTTATACACATGAGGTATACAGGCACACATGCTCATAAGTATCTTCAAAAAGCAAGATAAAATAAAATCTTAAAAAAAAAAAACAAAAAACACTGGTCTTCAACTAGGTCAAACTAGGTAGAGTTTCTGCTAGCAGCATTCTAATCCTGTAAAACAATTGATTTCTACCACAATCTACAATTATTGAGCAGTGTCCACAGAGCATATCCTGTTGTGATTAAATAAAGCTTACAGTAAAACTATCGGTTGGGTTGTTAAAATCGTTTTCCTTATTCTGCAAGTGAGAAATAACCCCGTGCTGGTTGATCTACGCTGAGAACTTGATTGGATTTAGAGCTACCATGGAAAAGCATCTCTAGGTGAGTGTCTATAGACGTGATCCCAGAGAGGAGGAACCGAGGAGGAAAGACCCATCCTTTATGTGGGCAGCTCTACCCAACGGACCAGGGAAACAGAATGAATGGAAAGGAGCAAGCGGACCAAGCATGAGCAATTCCCTTTGCTTCCTGACAGTGGATGCAATGTGCCTCAGCTTCTGCTGCCATGCCATCGCGGTTACGTGAGCCCCAGCCCCTCGAACTGTAAACCAAAACAGCCCTTTTCCTTTTCAAGTTGCTTCTCTAGATACGGCAACAAGTAACTACACATGTTCGTATAACAACTTTAAATGATTCCCAGCTCTTCTTTATTACTTTTTCCATGCTTCTTTTGAGGCGTAAGTGTTTCTGCAGATGTGCTGTGAAGGCTGTAGGCAACGGATGAACCACTGAGGCCGGAAGGGAAAGGGGCCCAGATCCACTGCGATTTGCTGCTCTTAATTTTTATCTGTGAGTGAGTCACTGCTCCTGTCTTAGGCTGGGTCCTAGCGTCCCTCGAAGGTCCAGAGCTTGGAGGGGACTGTGGGTTCCAGGTCTCCCCTGCTCCCTTTTTTACTTCTAGATCAGGAGGTGAGTGACTTTTTCTCTGCTGCTGGCTCCCCACCATGATCCTGGGCCCTCCACATGCCTGGAGAGAGGGGGCCAACTGACCGCAGACTGGAACTCCTGAGACTGAGAGCCACAGTAAACTCTTTCTCTTCCTAGGTTGATCATCCCAGCTATTATTATAATTACGGAAAGGTGACTACCACTGACCTCCACGCATCCTAGGTTTCCCTCTCCGTCTGGCATGAGCTCACTGTCTGGGATGGGCAAATACTGCCACAGAGATGTTATTAGAGTGAGAGAATCGTAAATAGGCCCACAATTAGTCACCTGGGCTAGTCCATGTTCCACTGAGAAAGTATACTTACTAAGATCATTATTGAATTTGTCCATTAACTCATCAAACACCAAGCAGTCTTCAAAGCCCTGAAATGAGAAAAATGGGTCAAAACAAGGCTGGAATAAGGCTGGAATAATGAAACTCTTCAAAGCAACTACAAACAGAACTGGCATTGGCAGGTATAATTCAGTCTGTGTATCCTTAGTATGTAACAGATAGGTTAGCATCTGTGGTCTAATCACGATACAAAGGCCAGCAGCTGGACCTGGGTGCTGCCCTTGTCCCACTGCTATCCGGAAATCAACCAAAAGAATTGAATACACCTGTGATTTTGGTGGATTCCCAAAGCTTAAGACTAACAATTACATGTCTCTACCATGAGTTAGCTGTAAACTATCCAGGTCTTTAAGGTTCATGTTTAGAATGATTTAATGAACTGAGCATCTAGCTCAAGGGTAGAGGACTATGCCTTCCATGCATGAGGCCTTAGATTTAATTCCAATTACTGCTAAAAAATTAATGATAGGACCAAATTAACTTTGTTCTTATAACTCAAATTTAAAACACAAAGAACCCCCAAACTTAGTAAGATGATACCAAATGCAACAAAGAATAAGAACCCTGAGTACTTACTGTATTTCCATTATCTGCAGATTCAAACTACCATTCTAGAGACAATGTAAAAATACATAAAAAAAACACTTTTCACATCAAATATAGTGATTGCACTTGAAATAAGTAAAGGTGGCTTTCAATAAATGTCTGCTGATTCTTTATGGTATAGAAACTTTGACATAAGTGATCACATACAGGGCCAAGACAACAGTCATAAAATCTTACTTAAAAGTTTTCTTTTCTCTCTGCAAATATTGGAGTAGACGCTAGCAAAATTGTAGCATTACGGGTGAGAAGGGAAGGTGGGGATCCAGCAGGTTACACAAAACACATTGTGTCGTGAATCCTGGAGGCAAGATGTGAACTTTCGCCAGATCTTGGGCGTTTATCACAGTGCTACAACTGACGTTTACTTACGTTCTTACAAACCAAAGTGCTTGCAGCTCCTTTGTGGGGAAGGAAGTCACAAGCTACTCTTACTTGGAATATAGTTCTGTTCTCAAGGCGATATATGACAAGTTATTGTTAAACTGTTATCACCTGCACGTGTGTATACATGTAAGAAGTTAATGAGATTTCTTGATATGAACATTTAATATAGGAAGCACTACATTTTAGGTTTTTCTTTCTAACCAGAATAGCAAAATTTCCATGAAGGTAGCAGTATTCACTGTGTAAAACCTGCTTTGTAAGTTTATTTAGACCTGACAATGTTATTGGCTGAGTTTTGGTATTCAGGCTGTAGATGAAGTACCCAAGAACAGAAGCGGCCTCATCATAAGCCCTATGTATTTCTTCTATGTACTGAGTTACTGTATCAAATAACCTGGATCCTCGGTGGCGAGGAAATCCACTGAGCAACTGGAGCGACAAGGGAAACAGCTGTGTTCTTGGAACTGTGTGAAGATTGCTGAGACAGAGCTTCTGCTTCTGCTTAACTACTTGAGACAGGCCTTGGGAAGTTCTAGGAACTTTCCTACAGGAAAAGAACTCACCGCATTCATTCCTTGCCCAAAAAATGGGACGATGGCATGAGCCGCATCTCCCATCAGCACACAGTGTGACTTCAGGTGGAAGGGAGAGCACTTCACTGATATCATGGGCTGGGCAGGCAACAGAAAGAAGTCTCTCATGAGCGCTTGCCTTGGGAAGAAAGCAATCAGAATATGAAAAGGTTACTTGGCTGCCAGGCTCTGCTGAGTTCTTCCAGTATTATTGGCTTCATTGCCATGATATTTTGCTGAAAACAATATACAAGAAGGCCAGCAGTAAAAACAGAAAATGAAGGAAGGAGATGTAGTTCAGTGGAAGGGTGCTCAGCTAATGCGTGCAAGGTCCTGGTTCAATCCCCAGAATCAGGGGAAAAAGAAAAGGAAAATTGGGAGTTTCTGCTAGGCTTAAATTCCACTATCCTGGGACTAAAAAGATGACTGATTTGATAAAGGACCTGAGGACCTGAGTTCAGAGCCTTCATTCCCATGCAAAAAGCCAAGTATGGTGGCACCGTTGTAAAACACCTGGTGTGACGGTAGTATGTGTCGATAATCCCAGTGCTGGGTGGGATCCCTGTGCTGGTCAGCTGGGGCTGACTGACTGACCAGCATTCAACTGCCAGAATTTGGGCAAGCATTCACTGTGCTACAGTTGTATTCCTATGAACCAAAATGCCAATGCTTTGTAGAAGAGATTCACAAGCTACTTTTACCTGACATATATTTCAATCAGCAAAACAATATTTGACTAGTGATTAGCCAGGCTGCCTATCTATCACACCCCAGGTGCTCACCTTGCTGATAAGCCAGTCTAGCCAATAGACGAGCTGCAGGGTCAGGGAGAAAGCCTGTCTGGTGGAGAGCGACGGAGAACGTCACCCAACATAAGCCTCTAGTCCCCAGAAACATGCATGCATGTATGGGCACAAATGCATTTGGACTGCCCCCGCATGTACTTTCACACAGACATGTACAATTCCACACAAACAAGTACATACACACCAGTCCACCTTTCTAATTACCACTGTATTCACATTCAAAAGGATAAGTCTGGCAGCATTTGAATAATTAGAAATATGTCTGTGTTGTACGTCATATCATGAAACTATTGTTAGGCACACGGACTATAATGGTTGCAAATGTATTATCATGTGTTAGACTGGTTTCAAAATCACCAGTATATTTTGGTCTCTTGTGTAAACGCTGAACAAATGTTACAGTGTGTTTCACTAGACCACAGCAAATAGATGCTAAGTTAATGTGAATCCTTATGTTTAGGACATGGATAACAGTAATCAAAAGTCCTGTCTGGGGAGGTTGGAATGAACTGGCTGATGGGTGTAAAATTTCATGTGGACTGGAGTCGTCCCCGTGTCTCTATTATTGAATATGATGACTATGGGAAACACACAGAAGCCTCTGATGTTCACAAAGCATCCACAGAGGCTTTACAGAAACTCGGAATACAGAAACACCACATGTCCTCAGAAATCTTAGGTCTGGGGCCATTGATGTGACTCAGCAGGTAAAGGTGCATGCTGCCAAGTCTAATGTCCTGAGCTCAGTCCCCAGGGGCCACATGATGGAAAACGAGAGATGGCTCCTGCAGGTTTTCTCTGACCCTCACATGCATGTTACAGTGCCCCCTTTCTGAGAAATAAACAAATGCATGAATGTAATTTTAAAAAATTTTACAAGATTATCAAGTTTGGCTAAAGATGTGAGAAATGGCCACAGAAAAATGTGAAACTACGTGAGAGATAAGGTTGGTATGCAGACAGAGTCTCTTCAGGGGCAGTGGGTTGGGGATCTGTATAGAGTAGGAACCAGTGGCGCCTGGCAGGTTTTAAGCCCTGTTCTAGGCTGGCGTCACACTTCCCCTCTCACACAGTTAGCTGTGGGTTTTGAAACTCCACTACTTGAAAAGTACCTTGATAATCATCTCAAAGCTCCAAACTAGGAAGAGGCAGAAGTGAGGTCAAAATATTACTGTAAACCAGGCCTGGTAGCACACGACTGTGTTCTCAGCACCAACCACCAAGAAAGAAGGATTATGGGTTCTAAGTCAGCCTGGGCTACTCAGAAACAAAAATGACTACTGCTCTTTTTTTAGCCTGATTACTCATATGCCCTGAATTCCGTGGGTGAAACTTGAATCCTCGGGTCTTGGCGATAGTTGCAGCCAGGAACTCGGGAGGTGATTCCCTTGTGAGTCTGGAGCCCGAATCAAAAGGGATTTGTGCCTTTACAAAATGGACCATAAGATGATCCATGTCCCTTCAGTCACGGAAGTTCTCACAGGCAGAAGACGCCTTCTGTGAACCGGGAAGCGGCTCTCACCAGACATGAATCTGCTGGTGCCTTGATCTTGGACATCTTAGCTTCCAGAACTGGGAGACGTGGTTTCTGTCACTTCTAAGTCACCCAGTGTGACTAGATAGATAGCACTCTTTTTCTGCAGCATCGTTCTGTCTCCCTGGAGAGAACGCTGAAGTGAAAAGTGAGCTGGGTGTTTGGTCTGTGCGTGTGTGTATGTGTGTGTGTGGAGTGGTAATAGTAGTAGTTGGAAGAAGCCAAGTCCTTACGTGAGAACATATAACTAAGTACACGTGGAGGGTGATACTGACAAGGGCCAGATGAGCAGCAGACCGTAAGCCAGCTGTCTAGCTGACTCAGCTGTGGGTGGGGCAGGACCTAATCTGTATGGGCCCCGTGCTGAGCAGTGATGACGATCTCATATATGTATAGGGTGATCTTACTTAGTCCTAAAACATAGGATCACACATAGGAAAACACATAGCTAGGAAAAGGGACATGCCTGAGCTCTGCAACTGCTGTGTCACACACATATCTGTGTCTCTCCAAAAGAAAAAGGAACAACCAGTTCTCGTGGCAAGCCAAGCCTGGGGAGCCTGAGGCGAACCTGGGGATGCTGGTGTGCTCAGGATACACTGGGTGCAATTTTCACAGAGTCCGCTCACAACAGAGAGCCCACTTAGACTTTGGCTTTAATGCCGGTCTCCAGCCAGTGCATTTTGAAAAGAATTTTTAAGGAAAACTCAAGCAAAAGTTGGAACATTTCCAGTTGAATTTGGAATGACTCAGGCCGAGGAAAGGAAAGGCACAGCTTCACGCTGGGACTTACTCTCCCATCAGAGGGATGGCGTCCGGAAAGTTCTTCTGGAAGAAGACCAGCACGTCGTTACATGTGGGAAGCTTTTCAAAGTCTTCAAAGGACATGAACAAGGTGCATGTGAAAGATCTGTCCTGAGAATGAGAGAGGAACAGGGCGAGAGAGAAAGAGCTGTGACGATAGTTGGCACTAAGGGTGGACGTCTGAACTACAGGGCCTTCGCTGGGACTGAGGATCTCCCAGAGGAGAACGCGCAAGTCAGCTTCATCCCCTTTTCTCGGGAGAAAAGCTCTGCCCCATATCTCAGAGTTGCTCCTCGCCTCTCAGGTAGCGAGGAGAATTGCTAGTCTGCAAACCTGCTGTGTTCACCAAGTAAACACTGCAGCCCTTAGATTGCTTATAGATTGCTCGATGTGATTCTTTTTCGCTCTTAAAACAGTATTGATCCTGTGATGGACAGCAACAGAATGAAAAAGATGCCCAGAGAACACACAGCAAGCTGGGTGTATAAAGAAAGAGCCCTGGTGACTATTGAAAGAAACACACACACACACACGCACACACACAGGCGTCCCACCAGCCTTAAAGACTGGAATTGCTTTCTAATACATAATCTAAACCCCTCTCGCTTTATGGGGGCCACTTGTTCCTAGACTGTCTCTGATGAGAATGACCTTAGATATGAACTCTTCGTCATTCACCTAAGTCCACTCCCCTTTCCAAAGTAAACATTAGACTTGCTTCTGGCTTTTCCTCAGAAGCCAAGAGCTTCAAAGACAGAATGGTTAAATACATTAAATAATGGTGACGTCAACCAGCTACATAAGTGTCCATCGCGAAAGTAAGGAATAAAAATATTAGTTATAGGTGTATAAGTAGCCGATAGGAACTTGTACATTACCATGTTTGGAAGGGCGATCATCATAAAGGCATTTCTAGGCCAAATGTGAAGACAGTTGTGTTCCATGGCGTACTGCAGGGCAAAGAGCGCATTCGATTAGCAGGTAACTCCTCTCCACCGCCGATTTACGCCTGCTTCTGCAGCAGTGCAGGCCGTCCCCTAGATACAGTGCATTCACATGTGCATGTCTGGTTGCTGCATGAAGTAGATGCTGTCTCAGAGAACACTTTGTGTCCCATCCTTATAATTTAGTCCAAGGTCTGAGAACTTACCATAATAAGATCTTCTTTCTCTCTCACCCTGGTCTTTCCATACACATAAATACGCACGTCAAAATGGTATATATGTACACACACAGAAAACATACATACATGTGACTACATGTATGTGTGCGTAGGACTGTGTGCTATTGTTTCGCCCTTAGCACTTTTGTAGACTGGAAAGGTCTTGAGCTGAAGTAGTAAGAACAAAACCGAAGGAGCAGCAGTCTCCCAGCTGCCTGCCGTTAGCATGGATTGTCAAAGTCATTCTGTCTTAGAAGGATATGCATCTGCCTAACTTTGCTGCTTTTCTGTTGTTTGTTTCTTTTGTATTTATTTGCTGTTGTCACTTTCTCCCCAGAACCCTAAGGAAAGCCTAACACAGAGACATTGAGGTGAATAAAATGCCTAACTCTGGTTTCAAAGACTATATAGTGAACGGACTGGACAGGAAAGTATCAGTACCAGGAAAAGCCAAGCTGCTTCTCTTTAATAAGGTGAGAGATAGGAAGGCATTGTGAGTGCTTTCGGGCTGATTGAAAGTATAAGAAAAAACAGGTTGACATGGAAGGGGCTTGAGACAGAGCCTTGCATAGAAGACCAGAGTGCAGAGGATCTAAGCAGGGAAGAGCAGAGCCCTGGCACAGCTTCACCAGCTGAGCAAGGTGGAGGAAGTAGAGAGGCAGCTAGCACCTGGATGAGAATAAAGCAAATACCCTGCTTGTCCTTCCTTCCGTCTCTTGTATTTTTTCTACTGCTCCCTCATCTTTTCAGAACTCTAAAAGGTAGGACAAGGAGGACAATGTCAAGCGATCCTAACTTGGTTTCCCACTGCAATATCAAAGGTCAGAGCCTGATTTAAACGGTGAGGAAAAACAACATTTATGCTGTTTCCCTCACTGACAGAAAGAATGGCTTGTCTATCACAGCAAGTACAGTATGCTACCAAGAAAACATGGACGCTCGTGCATGGCGCATGATCCTGGAAATCAACCTTTGAAGCCTCAGCTTCTTTATCATCAAGCCATGCTCTGGAGAGATGCCTGCATGGGACAGCAGTCAGAGGGCAGCTCAGTGCTGCCTCCTTGTTCCTCTCAATATACAATATACAAGTCCAGGCAGCTTTCTGATTGTACCCAAACAGTTCTGAGGTGAGCCTTGGGGGTGTGGAAGGGGAGATGGAAAGGATGTAAGAACTGGAGATGGTGAGGGGCTCTGGGAAACGGTGTTTCTGGACACACACAGCATGGCTGTTGCACTCAGAAAGCCACAGCATCTGTGGCCACTTGCACAAGATATACACAAAATCGAGCCTTCTAAAATGTCCTCATCGACTTGCGAGAAATTTTCAGGTGCTGTGCCTTCCTGCCGAGCCTCAGACAGTTGGTAACTGCTAGAGGCAGGAGAATCTTCTCTGAGAATGTGGCCCCTGGAGTTTCCCATGTTCCAGTGGACGACTCCACCCCCATGCACATCTGAGCAACACCAACTGGACTTAGGATGTGAAGAATAAAATAATAACAACAATAGCAACAACAACAATAATAAAAATGATAAAAGAATAAGATTCAATGAAGGACGAGGAAAGGACGAGGAGATAAAGTTAGAAATGGATAAAGTTAGAGGGAAGATGGGCTGTTATTTCATTTTGCACATGTATAAAATTCTCAAAAAATAAAATAAAATATAAGCTCTAAAGGAGAGTAGCAAAGCTAAGTACACAAGCCTTTAAAAATGGAAAGGAATAGGATATATTTTTGTATACAATACCCAAGATCTTCCCACCCCACCTATCAAAGATGGAGTGCAAGTTGTACATTAAAAAAAGAAAGAGAGAAAGAGGAGAAAGGAGGAAAGGATGCAGAAAATCACAGGCCACGATTGAAGCTGATCTCACACAAAGATCTTATGTTTTCTCACATGTTGGTTCCTAGATTTTACTTTAATGCATAAAATTATATATGCGTGTGTGTCAGGAAAGTAGAGTAGAACTGTGTAGGGCACAAAGTGAGAGAGAAAAAGAAGGACAGCGGGGCCTGGGGAAGAATAAGCTGAGCACATAAAGCATGATTAAAAACTGAAATGCATAGATAAGTACTTTTTAGAAGCGAGAAATAGAAAAGAGCGCATCCGAGGGGTGTTTGTGGCCTTGCCAAGATGTCACTCTGTTTGGACCACCTGTGTCTCAAGACCCTGTGCCTGAAAAAAAAAATGAGAACTTTTAGAAGACTGCTCGTCATTTCTAGTAATTCCATGTGGCTGAAATGTAAGTGGTCACCTCACAGCCCCCTCCCGGGGCACTTCTGCTGCAGTCTGGGCTGGCCTGGAAATAGAGCTGTCTCACCCTGGAAGCCAGAGTTGGAATCGGCTCTCCAAATGTGAGGTCAAAATTCTCATACAACAGGAACGGGAAAATTAGTGAAATGACAGACAGTGAGATGTTAAAATATCTGTTGGATTGGCCTGGACAGTGTGCCAGAATGTAAGTCCCTTGCCTCAATTAATGAGATATTTTATAGATGATGTACTTCATCTAGGAGAGGTGAAATCTGACCAAACCTTTAGAATGGTGCAAATGGATGCACATAGGCATTTGACGTTACCTGCTGGGTCTTGGGAGCTAACGTCCTTATATTGCCTCTGATAGCATTTCCTGACCTTTCCCCAATAAGTTTCTTTGTCTGATTAAGGCATAGCAAAATAATATTTTCATTTTATTTTTAAACATGAAATTTCACATTAAAATAACTTCATATTAAAATAATTTTATATTAAAATAGCTTATTTTAATATCACTTATTTGCTTCTAATGTTGCGCATTGCTTAACAATGGAACAATATGGGGCTGGGAAAACCACAATTGAAATCTCTTTTTAGCAATGTGTTAATCTACTTTACTAGGTCTCCTTAGATGTTGTTATGGGGGAAGGGCTATAGGAGGGAGAATACCTACCTCCCCATTCTTAGGCGGAATCGTCAACTCCATGTACCCATGAGGAATGTATTGCTGACTGTAATCAAAGCGGGGCTTCTTCATGAGGTGGGCTCTGACGGTTGAATAGGCTCCATCACATCCAACGATGAGGTCATAAGTGACATCTCTGGAGACTTTGTCAGGTCTGAAAAACAGAATGAATCATGCCCCCCATCAAAAAAAAAAAAAAATCTCTTGAAAATGGCAAAAAATTTCTACTTGGGTGTACAAACAAACTCGAGAGGTAACTCAAAACCGCGCATTTACACAACTAGCACAAAGCCTGACTTTATCTAATTTGAATCAATACATTTAAAATTAAGATGAAGATGCTTGTTCCAGACATGGTTTTGCTTGTGAAAATGAGAATAATGTACAACTATCCTGATATTAAAGGCAGACACGTTGTGCTCCAGAAGTGTGAGAGCTGAAGGAAGGAAATCTTGAACAAATGGGAAAGCAGTCCCCAGGCATAGTTGTAAGCACACCTCTAAGTCCCAAGTATGTGAGAGCCTGCGGTGACGTGGCCAGGATTTGCTCAAGGAAACAAGATTGGCTTGAGTAAAAGACACGGGAAAACAAGCTTACGAACAGAACACACTTGTCTCTTGCTGGCCTCCAGGACTGGTTCCAGAGTATCCATATCTGTTTTTCTTATGTAAAACAGCACAGTATTTGCATATGTCATAAGCAAATCCTCCCAGATGTTTCAAGTTGCCTCCAGAAATGGTGTGTGAGAGGTTGCATCTTTAGGGAGCAAGGGCAAAAGTGAAACCTGTGCATGGTGAGCACAGGCATCTGCTTTTATTTTTGTGTTTTCTTGGAGATGCAAATCTCTGTTTTGGGTACTTTTGATCTGAGGTTGGTTGTACCTGTAGTTAAAGAGTCCTTAGATAAGGAAGATTAAAAATGCATAGAGTGCAAAGGGGGAAGAAAGGAGCATTTCGATATAAAGACGAGAAAGTTTAAATTTGTGATTCTGGCAAAACGCAGAAAATTAATTCTTCCATTGGAAGGATGATGATTGATGAGTGGCAGTTTCGGGAAGCTGACTTTTCAGTTTGAAGTGGAAAAGGGGAAACACGGGAGGCGATGGCAGTAGCCTACTGTGCAGGGCCAAGAGCTGGACGGCCTCAAGCCGCAGGAAGGAGGGGAGGAGGACACGCTGGGGAGAATGCTCAGGTTTAACAGGCAGAAGCAGGGGCTGCATACCATCAGGGGCTGTGCCTATGCTGCAGCACTGGTAGACAGCAAGGAATCGAAGAATCGGAGGGAGGCAATGCCACTGTTCTGGCATTGGGACATCATTGATCAGGACCTCACTGAGACCAAGAATGGGGGAAAGGCCTGGGTACACACGCTAATGCTAGAGATCGGAACTTACAAATGATGGCGAACAATGACTGGATGTATGACAGAGAGACAGAGAGACTTTAGAGGACATAGAACTCACACCACCAAAGAGGACAGGAGATACAAGGCAGGGTACGGCTACCTATTTCCAAAGAGGAGAAAGACTAAACAGAGAATAGTCACCGGAGCATGGAAATTATGGAGAATTGCCAGTTCTGACTTCTCACAAAGCACTGGGGGACTCAAACAAAAACTCCTTGGTCATGAGGAATATTTGAAATTTTCACTTCAGTAATCATTTGACCCTTCCAAAAGAGACAAGGAACAAACTGCTCCACTCCTACCCTTGCCCTTTGAAGCCAAAAGCCTGAACACAGCAATTACCCAAGTACGGTGACCACCCCTTCTTCAGGACTGCATTTCGACAGCTTGTGGCCAAAGTGTACCTGGGCATTGGGGTATGACTCCACAGCTGGGGAGAGAGAAAAGGTAAACAGAGCTGAGTTCAACTGTGGCTTCACTCGATCACACTGAAACGCTGGTCACATTCTGCAAACACTGGACAGAGATACCGCCTAGTTAATTAACAGATCTGTTTATTTGTGACCCACAGACTTGAGCTCACCATGTACCTGAGGCCAGCTGTGAGCTTACGATACCCCTGCTTCTATCACCTGAATACTGGGCGTCTGTGTGTGTACCTACTATGCCAGGGAAGATACTTTTTCTTAACATGACATGAATTTGTTAAAATGGTAATTTGACAATTGTTTTGTGGATGGTCTGGTATAATTTTTCTATAATTATAGACAAATGAAAAACAACTGTTGTCACTTAAAAAAAAAAACAACCAATAGCATTGTACAAACTCTGTACCTCTGTGATTGTTTGTGCCTTTAATAGAGGAATTACTGAATATCCCAGCCACAGCTATCTTGTTTTCCTTATTATTAATACCGAACGGATGAGCAAAACCATGAAACAATTGTACATGAAAAGTGAATGCATCTGAGAATTGGTTTACTTGCAGTGTTTTCAGAGGAGAGGAGATTTCAGGGGACTGGGGGAGGGGCATGGGTGGAGAAGGAGGAGGGAGGGTGGGATTGGGAGGGGAGGAGGGAGGGAGCTACAGGGGGAATACAAAGTGAATAAATTGTAATTAATAAAAATAAAAATTAAAAAAGTTAAAAAAAGAGAAAAATAAGTATTTATAATTGATCAAATAAATGGAATGTTCCATGCCTTGCAAAAAAAATGAAGAACTTTATATGCCAAACAATGCTTAAGTCATAGATTCTCTCTACCTATCTCTGTCTTTACACACACACACACACACACACACACACACACACACACACACACACACACA